TGACCCAAATTTGGATCTGAGGAGCTTCAGAAGCTGTGTCCTATCTTTGACTTCCAGAATGAAAGCTGCCCCATTCTTCCATGAACACAGTTTGCTATTTGGGTATCCATTGTTCTTTGTTGGTTTGTGGTAGGCGAACTCCATATTGGGATTTGTAGTGAAAGACATGAAAAGGATCTGGGGGAATAGGAAAGGTAGTGCAAGGCTGGAGTGTTTGGAGAAGAGCAAATTTTAGCTTTAGATTCCATTCTGTGTGAGTTGCATGGTTAAAAAAACCTCCTAATAAACTTGAGTCACTTCTGGATGACTTGCACAAAGTTTGTGGGGAGATAATATGGCATCAGTTATTTAATGAGTATTCATTATGATTTGTTTGTGGAAAAGTTATACAATGCCATGTCAACTGTTCATTATCCCTCACTTTCCAGCACATTTTCTCATTGCTTTTCTTTTATTAAAAAATAAATAAAAGCATACATGTATTAAAAACCACCAGCAATTTCAAGATTTTAATATATTTTACTGAAGCATTTTGAGTGGTCCCCCAAACCCCTGAGGTTTAGGCAGACTTTACCAAGAACCAGCCCATTTGTGTGCCAGGTTCTATCCTGTGGAACTCCTTGCCAATAGAAATTCAGAAGGAATTCTGCTTTCTTTCATCCACCTATTAAAAGCTGTGTTGGTCAGACAAGTATTTTGAACAACAATTTTTTTACCAGCCCATTTTTACTGATATATTATTGATGCTTTTACTGCTTTTATCATAGTATTTCATTTTTATGTTGTACGTTGTCTTGTTATACTTTATAGGAAAGTGGGTTTTATGAATATTTAAATGTTATTAAATTAAATACGTTGGATCAAAATATAGTGCCTGTCCTTACATAATTTGAAACATCACTAGGAAACATAATTTAGATATCAAATACTGGCACATGACCAAGATAACTATTAAGATTAAGCTAACAAATATCATGGCAATAAACCTTTCCAAAATGACTTCTGGTACTCAGGCAGAATTAATTCACTTCCTTGCCTGGTAATAAATGTCATGAAGGCCCCCCACATTGCCATAAAGTTATCACATTTTGCAATTCCTCTGGGCTATGGAAGCTTCTCAGCCAACCCAATAAATCACACTTTAAATCACACTTTGGGCCACCAGCCTTGCGTTGTAAATGATGATGAGTTGACGTTAGTCATGGGCTATAACACTGCTATAACACATGGGCTATAACATTTGACAGGACCTAGGATAGCTCCACCTCCACCACCAATTGTTCCATTATATCTGATATTTCCTGAAAAACCCTTTCACCAAACACTCGGCCCAGTATACCTGAAGGAGTGTCTCCACCCCCATCGTTCCGCCTGGATACTGAGGTCCAGCTCTGAGGGCCTTATGGCAGTTCCCTCACTGTGAGAAGTGAGGTTACAGGGAACCAGGCAGAGGGCCTTCTCGGTAGATTGGCCTGCCCTGTGGAACGCCCTCTCATGAGATGTCAAGGAAATAAGCAACTATCTGACTTTTAGAAGACATCTGAAGGCAGCTCTGTTTAGGAAAGTTTTTAGAGTTTTATCATGTTTTTAATATTCTGTTGGGAGCTGCCCAGAGTGGTTGGGGAAACCCAGTCAGATGGGTGGGGTATAAATAAAAAATTATTTACTACTACTACTACTACTACTACTACTACTACTACTTTGGGACAGCTCTATTACATGTGGTAGTCCATGTGCAGGGAATCGCACTTTCTCCAAAACAATGAAGCCAAATCCTTATTGATATACCTCAGCTCTACTGGGGTATGATCCCACTGGCATCCCACCATGTAGGATCCCCCCCCCTTTTTTGAAGAGGTTTCGTGGCACAAGAGACCAAATCTGTTTCAGTTCCACAAACAAAATTTGCCCCTAAATTAACCACATCTGTGAAATAGTGACTGACTGAAAGCACCCTCCGAATCCCTGATTTAAGAACACCAGTCTCTTTTCCAGTTTTAGAGACAGATTAACATCCCAGAACTCATTGTTAGCAGAGGAGGAAAACAGGCTACTTTCTCATTCGATGGTGATGTTGTGGCTGTTGTTTCCCCTCTCCCCACCCCACATCATTCCAGTCGCATAAGAATGTAGAACTGCATAGCAGAGCCAGGATCAAACAGGAAGACCATGCAAGGGTCAGAGGCCAGATAGGAACCAAGGCCTTCATCTAATTCTTCTCAGATGATCCCCTCACACATCCTTTGTACATGGGTTTCAGATCATTTGGCTTCAGAATATCAAGACAAAGCACTATATTAAAAATTAAAAAGAAAATAAAAGTATCACACATACTTGTCCATGCAAGTTGTGGGAATATGTTAATAAAGGTGCAAAACAGCTGTCTAATTGCAGCTTTGAGACTAGAAACCTGGAACTTTAGTTAAGCAACCGCGCTTAAGAAATCAGCCTGAAGGATAAAAGTAGAGTTGAGAGAAGTATCAAGAAATACAACAAAGACTGGGAGGTGTCCAGCATCCATGGGTTTGTCTTGTTGTTTTTGTAAGCTACACACAGAGGAAAGCTTTTTCAGAGATTTGAAGATGGAACAGTAAAGACCTTATTGCCACGGTGTAAATACGCATCCTATTATCTTCATTGTCTTCATAAACGTTGCCGATTTTGAAGTGCTTCAAAAACCTGCCCAGCCAGCTTGATGAGACAGGACAGTGGGACAGAAATAATGACACAGCTAGTAGCATTAGGTGGAATCCCTGTTGTAGCTCCCAGCACCCCCCGAAAATCAGTTCCAGAGAGTTGGGGGTCTCCCCAGAACAGGGTAGAAGGTGGGCTTTGGGTGGAAAGGGGAATTGCCTCCTCTTCTGTTCCATTAGCACACATATCTGCTGTTTCAAAAGCCCTTCTGTGACCACAAAAATCCCACTGGATTCCATGCATTATAATCTTATGGTCTAGTCTGGCATTCAGCAACCTGGTGCCCCTCCAAATGTTTTGGACAACTCCAGTCAGCCCCAGCCAGCTGAGGTATCTACTGATGGAAGAAGAAGCACATGCTAGTGGGGGCTAAGAGGAGTTTGTTCAAAATACATAGCAGGCACCTGCTTGGCAAAGGCTAGAAGGCACATGACTTGGGGCTCATCAACACTTCATCTTATGCCATGCCGAGAAAGCATGAGTCAGAGCAGTTTCCTGCTTGCCATGCTCCTTTCCCAGGGAAAACCTGCTCTAGCTTTAAATCAGAACATGGAAAACCAACAGCAGGACAAGAGGAAGTGTGGATAAGCCCTTAGTTGTATCTGGGTGGAGTTACAAGCTTCCTGTTGCTGATCTTGATGGAGAAAGACATTAAAGTTCTTTACTAGCTTCCTGTCCTCTAAACCTGGACATGCCTCACAGAATTCCAGGCTATGTTTTGAGAGCGGAGATTTAAAAATAGAACGTGGCAGTCTCTGCATCAGAATTAGAAAAATGTTGACTAGGAAACAGATTGCTAGGTATTAACAGAAGTAAGTAGGTAATGGGATAATTGTACGGTTGGGTGATCACCATATTTTTCGCTCCATAAGACGCACCTGACCATAAGACGCACCTAGTTTTTAGAGGAGGAAAGGAGGAAAGCCCCGTTTTTAGGAGGGGATCAGCTCACAGTTGTGCAGCTTCTTTTGCAAAGGGGGAAAGCCCCCTTTTTGAGGATAAGCTCAAAGTTGTTGACCTTACTTTGCAAAGGGAAAAAATCCTGTTTTTATGGGGTTCAACTCACAGTTCTGCAGCTTCTTTAGGAAAGGGAAGGGAGCCATTTCTACAGTTTCCAAACAGATGATCTAATCAGCCAGTCACATGTCGCTGGGGAAACAGCCTCCTCAGAACATTCAACAATGGAGGCCTGGGCAAGGGGGCAGGGCCAGAAAGGGAGCCAGCGATCAACCACACATTCGCTCCATAAGACGCACAGACATTTCCCCTTACTTTTTAGGAGGAAAAAAGTGCATCTTATGGAGCAAAAAATACGGTGACTATAGAAATGCACTGAGATTTAAAAGAGCTTGAGAGCATTGAGTGCATGGTTTATCTGGTTTTCTCACATGAAAGTGAAGACAGCACCTCTTCTGCTGTACAGTGGTACCTTGGGTTACAGACGCTTCAGGTTACAGGCACTTCAGGTTACAGACTCCGCTAGCCCAGAAATAGTACCTCGGGTTAAGAACTTTGCTTCAGGATGAGAACAGAAATTGTGCTCTGGCGGTGCGGCAGCAGCGGGAGGCCCCATTAGCTAAAGTGGTGCTTCAGGTTAAGAACAGTTTCAGGTTAGGAACAGACCTCCAGAACGAATTAAGTTCTTAACCCGAGGTACCACTGTATCTCTCAAACAGCTAAGGATTGTTTTCCTTTTATTCTAACGTGCTTGCTTCTCTATGTAATATACATTTTTCTCTTGGGGTGTATGAATCATTTGTTCGTGTGTATGCGCAACTGTAATGACTGCCCTGTTTTCTTTCTTTTTAAAATGAGTTTATTGAGTTTTCCATTAAAAAAAGACATGCATATATACTGTACCATGACAACAACAAACATGAGTAACAAAATAAACCAAGCACAGAGGAGGAAAACATCAAATGAATGAGAAAATCAAGCAGGAGGATTTAAGATTACAATGTATAAGATTACAATATATAATTGCGCAGACAGATAATTAATTTCATTCTTTCTCAGAGTTTCTGGTCCATCTGAGAATAGATTCCCCAAAATAATCTATGGTAAAAGGAGGGCTGTGTATCCCTCTATTGCAATTATACTATGATGCAGCTTACCTAAAAGAATGTGTTCCCAATATTACAAGGAAACATGGCTATCTCATTTTCAATAAACAAATATCTTGCAGTAGGTCTCATGGAACAACTGTTCTCTTCATGTAGATTTACAACATGAATTTGAGTAGCATCAAAAATGACGTGGACATCTATCTGCTTAGGATTGCAGCCTAGGACCCTCCACAGTGGTACTCATAATTTCCACTTTTTTCTCCGCTCCACAGCTACACGCAAGGCTTCGACAATCTTGTTCTCATTGTTCAGGATGTTGTATTCAGTCAGTTTCACCAATCTGTCAAAATTCTCCTCTGAAAAGGTCACCTCTCTTGTAGCAAATGGGGAATGAAAGCTAGAGACATCCACATTGCCTTCTTCCATATCTGTGGGGTTGCGTTCCACACCTGTAGAAAGAACACCAACAAGAGTTTCACCAGTAAGGTTTTCATCTCTAGGCCAAAACAGCAGAGTTCATCCATTCACGTTAATCTAAGAAGGGTAATATTATTGGCCTTGCTTAAATACTACATCTTCCTATAATGTACGAATACTCTAAAGGCATATAAAACTCAGCATGAAATCACACCAGAGCTTGCCCAAAATAAATATGACAGCTCCAGCTGTCAGCTTGATGGGCCATTTGTTGAGAACCAGAGGCTGGCAATGAACTCACTCAAGTAAAATCACCTAAGTGGCCATTTTATGATCAGAGTCTTCCACCTACACAGCTCCCTGTGTCTCCTTCTCACTTTCCAGAGAGTCAAGGGGATGGGAAACAGTGTAGACTATATTATTTGAGCGGATGGCGCTGTAATCTAAACCACTGAGCCTCTTGGGCTTGCCGAACGGAAGGTCGGCGGTTCGAATCTGCACAACAGGATGAGCTGCTGTTGCTCTGTCCCAGCTTCTGCCAACCTAGCAGTTCGAAAGCACACCAGTACAAGTAGATAAATAGGTACTGCTGCGGCAGAAAGGTAAACGGCAGTTACATGCAGTCTGGCACTCGTCACAGTGTCCCATTGTGCCAGAAGCAGTTTAGTCATGCTGGCCACATGACCTGGAAAACTTCCTGGGCCTGAAGTGAGATGAGCGCTGCACCCCATAGTCAACTTTGACTGGACTTAACTGTCCAGGGGTCCTTTAACTTTACCTACAAGGCTATTGAGCCTTGAACTAGTGCCAGCACTTTACCAGTATACAATTTTGCACATCCACCATTTGTAAGATAAGCTGGTAGAGCATGAGACTCTTAATCCCAGGGTCATGGGTTCAAGCCCAGCATTAGGCAAAAGATCCCCTGACTCTCATGGCCCCTTCCAACTCTACAATTCTATGATGTTGGTGGATAGATATAGAGACAACCCTAATTACAGGAAGCTTATCAACCACAAAATGGCCACCTTGAGGGAAATGGGTGGAATATGTGCTAAAATAGAGACCTTTGTTTGACCCTTCTTTGACATTGTTGTATCATTGGTAGGTCGGCATTGTTGTATCATTGCTCCACCATTCTCCTAAGTTCTTGCTTTATAACACATGCAGACAATTCAGTGCACCATGACAAAGGCATCTGCATGTTGGTCATTATAAAATTAAGACCTGGCTGTAGAGCAAAGACACTTTACCATGTGCTCAAAACTAGGCCAGATACAATCAACCTGTAAAGTTGTGGTTCAGTGCACTTCTACTTATAGGATTTGGTGCTCATGGAAAGACTAACAATTTGACCAAAGGAATACTTGAGTGTCTAGTCAGCGAAGAGCATTATTGGAGTGTGACTAGTCATTGTGATGTTGGGAAGCTCAGTGGCTTTTCGCAACTTACCAGGTTCTTTGTATTTTCTGAAAGTATCATTTGTCAGTGGGAAAAAGAGCACGATAGGAGCTGCTGTGTTATCTGTATCTGCAAACCAATAGCACTCCTTCAGGTTCTGCTTGTCTTCCTCACTGAGCTCCATGTTGGGAAATGGGATTCCGAGCTTAGCAATATAAGTGGAAAACTGGTCTAAATTCTAGGTGAGAAATCACAAAGAAATGGGCTGTGAAAATCAAATACAACACAAAACTAATGCTGCACCAACAAAGTCTGTTTCAGCCTAGAGTGGCATCTAAGTAACTCGCTCCATCTGTATAAGGGTTTCCACTTATGTAATGGCATTTTCCCTCCTCTTCTTTCCACATGTGCTCCGGAGAGCTGGCGGAAACCTCCAAACATGTGGGGAGGTGGGAGAGATTTCAATTGAGAAAGCAGAAAGCATTGTGCTGCAAGAACATTGTTGTATATCTTTGTTCAAATCCTGCATGACTTTTGTAGGATTTGAAAGATGGCCAGTCCACAGTGTGCGCCTGTTGCATTTTAATCTTTGCATAGGAGCTTATAGAAGAAAGACAGGAACAATTAAAAGATCTTACCAAGGTCTGTGAACCCCCAGTGTAATTTAAATGCAGTATAAGATCCACTTTTCTCTCAGGTCTCAGAAGGGGTGGGTAGCTGGTATTGATGAAAAATCCAGTATCCACCAGAGACAGAGCATGCTCTGCTGTTTCCATTAGCTGGTTAGGGTAATCATCCACCACAGTATCTGAAAAGCAAATTTGCAGGTCAACTTTGTGCAAAAACAACAAAAGCTCCCAAGGCAAAAAATAAAGGAATGTCCTCTAATTTCATCCAAACTTTGTGTATTAGTGCTTCCAACATAGCTGTTAAATAGTATTGTGAATGTTACTTTATTGTCCTTAATTATTTCGGAGGGGTTTTTTGAAGGAAACATGAGGAATTTCCTTTTTAAAAATATGCAAACATGCTGAAATGTGGCGTACTGAAAAGGCTGGGAAATGAGAAACCAAATTGGGGAGATTCTCCCATTCCCAGCAAACACTGCTATTCACCCCTGAAAATGTTGGAAGAAGTTATATGGGACACAAAGAGTGAGAAATGTATGTAACTGAAAATGTGAACTTTTTTTCTAGGGTTAACTATGAAATGTAAGGCAAAAAGTGGCAACAAATCAATCACATAACCAGTGAAATATCACCACAGCTGTTTTGTGCATAATTTTCCACTGGTTCTCCAGCCTCTTTGAGCCTCTTTGGCCTTGTATTCTGAATCTTCCAAAATGTCTTTGGTGGAGCAAGCTGCCAGGTTCAAATGGAAGTGATTCTTTGGTGAGAACTGCTTGTGCCACACAATGAATTCCTAGTTTAATTAACACAAAACTAGATTACTCGTTTTCCTGAGTCAAATGTTCTTGTATATTGAGTGACAACTGAGAAGCCAACAAGATATCACCACAAATGTAGGTTTATTACTGTGCCTTTCCACGCAGAAAAGTGCTCATTCTTCAAGTATTCCTCATGAAACTGGAAGCCTTTCAGGAAATTGGGATATTCTGCTATTGTTGGGCGTCCTGTTAAGACATCTCGGAGACCATAAGATAGCTGGCCCTGGGGGGTGATTTTGCGGGTTTCCAGATCTCGTGGTCCTGAGGGTGAAAGAGAAGCATCTGCAAAAGACATAAGGGATGTTTAATGCCCCTTGATAACAATGACATTTTGCTCACAGAGGCTTGAGGAAGATCAATAACATAGTGAAAAAGCACCTCTTTTGTCTGCAGAAGGTCACAGGTTCAGCCCTTTCAGTAAAAGGATTTAAGGATATCTTGCCCAAGATTTCAAAAGACCACTGCCAGTCCAAACAGAAAATAAAAACTAGGCTTGATGGACCAATGGTCAGAAGCGATAAAGTGCTAGGAATAAAACCTAAGATAGCTTTGGACCGCAAGCACTGCCACAAATAATATTCTGTGGTGGCAACACTTCTGGAATAGCTATCACTTTGTGGTGTGCCATGCTCCAACACTGTTTTGTTTCATTTCAGACAAGGATACACCTCTTTGTCTAGGCTCTTGAGGATCAAGAATTGCTATATTTTGCCTCACATTGATTGAACTTTTTTTTGGTGATTTTTCTGTGAGTCTTACTAATGTTGCTGATGATTAATTAATTATACACTGCTAATGATGCTTTCATTCTTGAGGTATGTACCAAAATCAAGTGAAGGGTGGATTAAAAATACCTCCAATTAATAAATAAAGCATCTTAAATACACATATTCATGAGCTGTTGTTGCACATAGCCTGAACACGCCGGAAAGGTAAAAACCCTCCATAGACTAGGTTTTAAGTAGATTTGGTCTCTCACACTAGTTGTCAAGGGAACTGGGAGAATTTGGGCCTGGTTTTTTGTCTGGATCAATGTCTTCTCCTGTGTCTGATTACTTTCTTGGTTGGGCATTTTTTGTTTTAATGGAATCAAACAATAATGTTTTCTGTCTCCTTTTACTGGAACAAGTAATTAGTCTACGCAAATCTGTTATCAAACAGGAGTGTGTCAACAATTATTTTACAAAACAGAAAAATCTAAAAGAAGCAAGGATGTCACATTACCAATGTCTTCTACTTTGTCTTTTGTCCACCTGCTCCAAAAGTCTTCAGAGTTATGAGCCAAATTCCAGAAATACATGAAATCCATGGAAAATATGCTGCTCCACATCCCTGTGAAATGGAAGAGATTTCAAAATACTAAACAGGTGAAGCTTTGGAAGGAAATGGGTATTTTGCCTTGCACTGGAGCTCACTAATTGTATAAAGGCATCCAGAGTTGTGAAATGTGGTTTCAGCCTGAAAAACTGTTTTGTAATTCTCTTTGGGAAATGGATTCCTGCAAGGGCTATGGATCTCAGCCCTGTAGTGTGGATGTAATGGGGTCATTGCTAGAAAATGTTCATATGGTTATTGTCCCCCATCCTGTCCAAAACATCATCTTGTTCATGTGTATATCTGTTTTGAGAAGGGGGGGGGGGGACAATGACCAGGGAACAATACACAAAGCCAGGGTAAGCAATGTGATACCAACTGGGTGTTGTTGGGCTACCACTCCCATGGGGGCCCAACAACATCTAGAGGGCACCTTGTTGGTTACCCATGCATCTGGGCAGTCGCATCAGCATATTTGCTCCATATATTCTCTCAGAAAACAAACACACATGCCCAAATGCTCACTAAGAAAGCTTAGTGGATTCTAAATTGAGCTAAGGAAATTATGCCAGTTTCTAATTGTGCAGCAGAGAGAATTGCAACACGTGATGAGCTCCACCTGCTAACATGTCTTTGTGCCCTCAGTTATTTAATGTATAGTTCTGACCTCCTTTGCTTCTGATCACCCTAGTCAAGATTCACATACGACTGGTTTGGAATACACTATTGATCATCACTGTCCCTTGCTTTTCATCAAAAAACCAAGTAACACTGAAGTGGGATAGAAATAATAAACCAAACTAAACCTGAAACTAGGGAGAAATATTTGCTTTTTAGAATAACTCACAATAATCTGAACAATTATCCGTGTAAACCTTCACACTGCATTTAAATGTGTTGTGTAAAATATTACTGCACTGTGTTGCCTACATAACTCAGTACATCAACTTTCCTTGAAGTAGCTTTGCCAGTGAAGCCAAAACAAAAAACAAAACTGATTTAGACATTTGGGAACTACAAGAAAATGATTGGGTGCTGGGGCAAGTGAATTGATCCTAGCTCTACTTTGTCTAAACTACTATTTTCTTTCTAATTGATCCTCCCCTGCCCTCAGCACCTTGCATGAAGCAGATTCGACTTTCTGGAAGCTTCTTCATCAGTCGTCCCATGAAGTACTCACTACCAAAATCTTCTGAATGGGTGTAGGCTCCATATTTGAAGTTCCCCACTTCGTAAGGTGTGAACTCCAGCCACTCTGTGAAGACAACAAAATGGAGTTCGATTTCCCCTACTGATGTGGGGAAAGAGACTTGCACAGCCAAATCTTTTTACTCGCTAGCAGCAACAAGTGATGCCCAAGAATTCTCTAAAAGTAGAGTTTTATTTCTTGCCGAAGCAGGAAAGGTTACAGCAAGCAATTTGGAAAGTGTTTAGAGGATGGAACTCCAATCTCTGTTTACACACAATTATATACCAGTACAGTCACTCTAACCACAAAGACAGGTGTTTCCATACTTGAGCTGGCTAAGCATTTTTCCTGGGCCGCCACTGCTTTCCCTGAGCTTCTGGGGTTGGTAGAACAACAAAGAGGACCCCTTATTGATTTATAATAGCAACATTACCTTTATAATCTTGAGCACTGTACTGGTCTTTAAGGTTGACAGTCAAATAAATGGGCAAGGGATTCTGACCCTCATTCACAGCCATTCGCTGACCTGAGATTGTACTATTGTCTTTCTGCAAATGAGAGAGAAGAACAACGGTGATCAAAATTATAGATTCATTAGTTTAAAACTGAGATGGAATCTAAGATCTGAATATGTGTCTGCATGCATGCCTTGGCCATCATGTGCACACATTTTTATATTGTTATATTATATTTGTTTGAAACAATTCTATACAGTGGTACCTCAGGTTAAGTACTTAATTCGTTCCGGAGGTCCGTTCTTAACCTGAAACTGTTCTTAACCTGAAGCACCACTTTAGCTAATGGGGCCTCCCACTGCTGCCGTGCCGCCGGAGCACGATTTCTGTTCTCATTCTGAAGCAAAGTTCTTAACCCGAGGTACTATTTCTGGGTTAGCAGAGTCTGTAACCTGAAGCGTCTGTAACCTGAAGCATATGTAACCCGAGGTACCACTGTACTGGCTTCCATGTCAAGTCTCAAGGCAGCGTACAATATTAAAATACATATCAAAACATTGAAATGCAGGGGGAAATGCAGCTGAAAACTAGGGCAACATTAAAAGCATAAGTGTGTTCTACACAGGAGTATGAAATACAGTGCCCTCTATGAAATAAAGTGCCCTGTGATCCTCAGGAAACACCTGATGAGCCCCTCACTGTTGAGTTTGGGTGCTCTTGTCATTATTGGATCCTGTCCCATCAAGAACATTTCCCGTGGTGTAGTGGCTCTGCCTACACCTCTTAATACTCTCACTCCACCACTGAGGTTAATAGCTCCCAGACCTTCCCCTATTATTCTCTTTGCATTCCTCCTCTGTTGTGTATAAACCTCCATTTTCCTTTGATTAACCACCATGTTTCAAAATGGAAGGGAGGTGGGGAATACAACAGTTACCTCATCATGTAACATGGATTCAATGACAAGCCCCCAGAGGTCTATGAATGAAGTGTTGTGTCCTTCTTCGCTTCTTTGTTTCAGTTCATTATAATAATACTTCAGCTTATCCATGGAAAAGGAGTTAAGCTTGGACTTTGTCACTTGCTTCCGGGCTTTGAGAATGGCTTCCTCCAGGTATTTCTGGGACCAATCAGCATCTTCATACAAATTTCCCATAGTCCTGAGTTTTGAGAGATACTATCAGACTGATATGCAACTAATAGCATAGAAACCTCAAGTTCAGAGAGAGACAAACTCTAGCTTTTCATAAGAGCTGCAAGCCAAATAATTTAAAAAAAAAAACATTTCAAATGTGCTTTTAGTTTATTACTCTATAAATTAAATTTGCATAGATCTGCATATGAATAAAAACAATTTTTCAGAAACAATAAGTATACTTAGATCAAAAGTGGGTAATCTTTTTCAATGCTTGAAGGCCACAAACCTCCATGAGCCATCTCCCAGGGACTAGGTGCCAGCAATGGGCATGGCCAGAGGTAAAAGTGGGAGGATCAATGGTTATAGCTCTTACCTTTGTCCAGTAGGCTACACTTCAGGCACAAAAACGTCAGAGATTTCTACACACACACAAACACACACACCTTCATCCTGGCAGGCAAAAGGCTTAGATGATTCACACATGTATTTTTTTATTTAGGTCAGGCACACATGTATTATTTAACATTATTTTATTAATTTAATTCATGAGTCACCTATTTTATTTTATTTTTTGGCTAAGCAACATACACAGTGAAACAATGACTTTTTAAAAAAATAGAGCCATTCAATCATACTACCCTAAATCAATGAACCAATCCAGTAATAGTACAACAATACTTTTTTAATTTATGTTGATTTATTTAGAATAATTTAAAAACTGCTTAATAAAAAGCCTCTCTAATAATATAAAACAATAATCAATAAACTACAGATAAAAGCAGCAAATGTTAAAAACAAGTATCCATAACTAAATTATGTTTCCAGATAAGTGTGCTGAAACTCAATAGAGACAGGTAAATCAAATCCAGCAATCCTCAGCCCAACTATTGCAGACCCTCCAAATGTCCCTATTTTCCAGGGACATCCCTGATTTAGAGAAGCCATCCCAGTTTCTTATTTGATCCCAGAATGTCCCACTTTTCCTTAGGACATCCCTATTTTCATTGGACAAATGTTGGAGGGTATTGAGTTATCTGACCCCCAAGCCGTCTGAAGGCAATTCTGTATATGGAAGGTTTTTTATTGTTTAATGTTTTATTATGTTTTTATATATGTTGAAAGCTGCTCAGAGTAGCTGGGACAACTCAGTAAGATGTGTGGGGTATAAATAGTAAAATTATCATCACAGAATGGGACGTCCCTATTTTCATCGGCGAAATGTTAGAGGTTATGCTATTGTCATCATTCTGCAGATGCAGATTATTGGTGTTCAAAGATACTAGAGATATTAAATGGGCTGCGGGGAGGAACTTTGCCTGGCATCAAAAAGATATTAAAGTAGGCACCAGCTAAGCCTCTCAGGGTAGGGTATTCCATAGATGAAGGGTCACTGCCGGACAGACTCTTGTAGTGAAAGGGGCTTTTCTCTTTTTCTAAGCTGTGTGACAATGGTGAATGCCTATTTAGAGAATGTGCCTGCCATCTGCAGTTTTTATGAGCACTTATCTTAAAAATCCTAATGATGCCTTAATCAGCTGCATTTTTGTGAATTAAAAAGTTTCAGACCGAATGATCTAGCTGATTAATGAAAAGACTGCTTATCATATCAGCGGCAGCGGCAATTGCAAACTGGCACAGCTGCGAGGAAGCCAGGGGTTGACCACCGGTTGTGTTATTCAGCCTCAGCTGGTCACAGGGTCTTCTGGGACTTCCCACCAGAATTTCAAATGCAAAATGGCCAACCATTGCCAGTCTAGGGGGTGCGGTTGTGGAGAAGGACCTGAGGGAGCCTATCTCCACTCAGGTCTGCCTCCACACGTTACATTCTGGCTGCGCCAGGAGTGGGCAGAGCACTCAGCAATGGATATCCCATCTGCCCACCTGGTATATCTTGGCCTTACACAAAGGCAAGCTAACAGAGCACATGTTTGACCTTGTTGTGGAATTAATCAGATGCAGTATTTAGGACCAGGAAGGATTTTTGCCTGTCTGGAGATTTTGCATACCTCATAGCACCTGCCACAACCTTCTGGCAGAAAAGGCATTGGGTTGGATCCTTAGTCTAAACTGGAACTACTGTTTATGGTACTCTGGTAAAGAAGTCTATGGGGAAAGGTTTGTCCAAAGGCCCAGACAGGGGCTAATGGGCCAAAAGGCTTCCCACGTGGTGGCCTGGCAGTTCACCCCATTTGATCTGCATTATGGGAGGGTTGCTTTAACCTAGGATTGACCCTTAAGGAGCAATCAGCCAGCAATCAGGATAGACTGATTCAGGATGCATACCCAATGCTTATACCAAAGCCTACTAATATCTGTATTCAATAAAGTTGTGGCCATTTCAGTCCCAAGCTGTTGCCATGTCATTATTGGTTCTTATGCCCTCTGCCCCCAGTGAATCTGGGTTCGCTGTTCCTGCAAAGCCTTGTAGCCCTATATTTTTCATAAAGCACAAGGTAAATATCAATCATAACACAGTTATTTAAAAGGGAATTTTCTCCTGTGACGTAGGTAGTACTGGTAGCATGGAAAGCTTTAAGCATTGTCTTGAATACTGGGCAACCACATAAAACAGCAAACTGAATTGGGCATACAAAATATAGTAAGTTTGAAGAAAAGCCCTCCTTACCATGTTGTGCCAGACAAGCCTGTGAGATACGTAATGCAGTCTAAGAGATTCAGTTTCTGCAGACCCAGAAGGCTTCCATACATTGCTGCAAATGACCTGGTCCCACCACCTGTTGTCATGATTGCCACCACAGGCAACTGTTTAACACACAGAAGCAGAGAACGAACAGTAAGCTGCTGGACCTTATTCCAAAAGTACCATGTTTGTGAAAGAAAAGATAGAGCAGATGCTCTGCAACACTGGTACTGTCATGTGCACTTAGCATTGACAAAGGTTTATAGAAGTTACCTAACATATTAAGCATAATATTAGCAGTCCAGAATATTATGTGCATTGAGTAAGGTGAAGCAAACAGCATATTGTTTCCCTCTTGTTCTTCCACTGCCCGTACAGGATACAACTGCATCAGAAGAAGCTTTGGGTGGAACTGGGCATCTTTGCATCAATGTGTGTTCCACCCTATGAACCACAAGTCTTGATAAACCATTATAATGAAATATCTGGCATGTGATCCTTTCAAGAGAAATGGCTATGACCCAGGAGGCCAGCTTCTGGAGAGCTGACTCAGAGATGTGGCATGGTTAGAGAAGTTAGTTTCTGATCTGTGCAGACTCCTAAGCAACATCAGGAATAAAGTTTAATTGACCATTAACTCAGCTTGTAGTGTCTTCATTCTTAAACAGCAGAAGGCAGTAGGAATGGACAAATCTATCCACTCTACTTTTCTCATTTTGTCCAATCTCGAATGCAAAACCCCCCTGAATTTTTCCTCCATTCCTAGGTTGCAGCCTGCCCCAAGATATCTAGCGCTAGTTCATGAATGATGGAGCTAGCTGGTTACTCTAACCTTCTTGCGGAAAGAGGGAAATGAGAAGATCCTGCGTCACCTACCTCATCATCCTGCAGCTTTTCCTTTAATTGGAGGATCTTCTTCACAGCTGTAGCAACATATTTCCTTCTCTTGGTAAGGAAATTTTGTTCTTCTGCACACAAGTCATAGGCCAGGCGCACATCTAAATCCTTTGACCTGCAATACATTGCTTTAGCATTGCTTCCAAAATCGCAATTCAGATGATTTGCATAGTTGACCTAGTTGAATATCATGAGCAGGAGTGGACCTTGGAGTATCAACTTTCAGTGGCAGCCCTGTGTGACACCAAAATTTGGCTCACACACCTCTCTCCTTCCATTCTACATCATAGTGGTGGCACCTCCAAGGTGCCCTCAAGGCTCCACGCCCAGTGCAACCAAACTGGACCAAACTGGTCGCATTTCCCTAAATCCACGAGGATGCCACCTCCAACAAGAATGTAACTATGGCTCTTGCCAAGGGTACAACAATGATGAGACTGCAGGTAAAATGGAGCAGCCAGTTGTGTGATACAAAAGGCTGCTCCAAAATCATCTATACTATATTTATCTAGTCTTACTAAAGCTAATCTGACTTTTGCACCTATAGTGCAGTTACATCAACAGTGCAGTACCTATAGTGCAGTACATCAGCAGTGGCGGTCTTAGAGGCCCTGAGCCAGTGACGCCGCAATGGGGGGCATGGGGGGTGGTACACCCCAGGTTCCATGCCTGCGGGGGTGACAAGAAGTCACCCCATGGGGGCTCACGGCGATGTGAGCAGCCATCGCGCGACAGCAGCCGCCTTTGGAGGAGACTCCATTCGTGGCTGCAGCCACGAGCAGAGGATCCCAGCGCTGGCAGCAAACTGCTAAATACAGCGCATGTATGGCATTGCACGCTTGTGCTGTACGTAGCGACGCTGCACATGTGCTGTATAGCAGTTTGCTGCCGGTGCTGCTCCAGCGCTGTATGGACGGTGCTGGGATCCCTCCAGCGCCGCTACAGGCGTGTTCGTGGCTGCTGCGGCACCGGAGGGATCCCAGCACCGTCCGTATGGCACTGGAGTGGCGCCAGCGGCAAACCTCTATACAGCGCATGTGAGGCGGCGCTACGTACAGTGCATGCGTCATACGTAGCGACGCCGCACATGTGCCCTGTCGTGACGCCTTCCCCGGGTGTCATGATGCCTTCCTTCGCCCCTACCCTGAGCACTGAAAAGATTATGGTGCCCTCCATATGTAATTCAAAATCAAAACAACACCAAAACAAAAAATACAATTATATTTTTCACGTAACTTACATGTAAGGCCCTCGTGCCTCCTTCCCAAAGCCAGGTGCCTCCTTGCCCACCTTTCAGAAGGCAGCATGTGGAGGGGGCAGGATTTTGGCATTACACAGGGTGCCATAGTGCCCAGGCCCACCACTGCTTTCTTGTGTTACCAAAACATTCCTGAAACGTACCATTTCTGCTCAGTCACAGTTAGGACTCCCCTTGCCCTGTTAATTTAATCTATGTTTAAGCGTTATAAGGTTGCCTTTTTATAGATCGGAGCAAGAGAAACTCACTCTAGATTCAGAAAGGGCAACAAAGTGTGTGAATTAGTTCCTGAATGATCTCACTTCTGAGATTCAAAATCATAGTTTCCTGAGAAACGAAGAAACAAAACTGCACAAGCTTAGATGAAATGGGCAAAGAAAAACAATGTTTTACCAGTCTTTTGCCTTCACATGCAGATCAAACGTTGTGTCCTGAAAATCAAGAGAATGGGTAAAACCTCAGGCATATCATAAACTATTCTGCCCTTTTAAGAGCACAGCATGACAAACAAAGCAGTCCTGTTGTGGATCAGCTGGACTGCTACTGCAAATCTAGGCATTTGAGCGGACAGGCGGAGTCCCCAGATCCCGAGCGGTCCCCCCCGTCATGTGGAATAACGACTCAAGACAACGTGCTATAGGATTAAATTGGCCACAACTTTATTAAATTTCAAATGTGGGTAGACCTTGGCTCAGGCATTGGGCGTTTTCCCTCCCCAGTCCCCAGCCGGGGACCTAGGGAGCATCAGGGTTATCCAGTCTGGGGGGGGGGATGGGCCGGCTCTGGAGAACATATGTTCAAGCAGAGATAGCCGCCCCCGTTACGCCGCCGCAGGGGAGACCAATGACGACCTTTCAGCGTATGGTCAAAGCCTCCCTTCAGAAACCCCTTTAACGGGGAACCCTGGTATCGCTGCTGCAAAGAGGAAGATGGACTAAAGGATTCCGCCCAAGGCCTGATACCGCCAAAGTTGTGACGTTTTGCTACGGGAAAGGCGAAACCTGCCAATGCAGGGAAATTCCTTTCCGGCCCTTTAACAGCGACCTTAACGTAGCAGCGCCCGCATACCTGTGAAGAAAAGTTAACCTGCAAAACCTATGAAGAAAAGTTAACCTGCAAAGGAAGACATTAACTGAGGGTGGGTAGGGTGGGAGAAACTCTGGAGCCAAGTGAGGATTCCCAGGTAAGATCCTCCCTCTATTGTGTGGGCAGGTAATCCCTCCCCTTACCTGGCCTGGTCTCCTTGGCAACGCTACCCCCACGTGGGATTGGACAACTGACTGAGGTAGGCGGGGACCTCCAGGTATCCCACCTGAGGGAAGGCAAAGCCAAGGCTATGCTGATGGGGCCGCTCCAGATCCAGGGCTGTGCGCGTCCACACAAAGGGCGCCCCCCGTTTTAAGCAGGGAGCGGTCATTGTGCTGAGACAGATAAAACAGCAACCAAGATTATGTTGGATCAATCCATCACCCTCTGTTGGATGATTTAGAAGGATTGGGTCCGGCATCATTTTCACTGCGTGTGTGCCAGCACATCTAAATCCTTTGACCTGCAATACATTGCTTTAACATCGCTTCCAAAACACAGCAGGGGGATAGCTCAGAGCCCGTTTAAGCCAGCTGTACTCAGCTTCTCTGAAGGAATAACCCAAACATCATGAACCTTCTGCTTGTTTGGGTTATTCCTTCAGAGAAGCTGAGTACAGCTGGCTTAGCCTTGTTGGTAATTGGCACGATTTACTTAATACCCACCTGCTTAACAGATTAGCAACTGAATTACATGTTCTTTGGGCCTCACTTGCCACAAATTTATCCATCTTTCTGCTAGGAAAAAGCAGAGTGATGCTCCTGAATTGGGCTTTATTTTCTGGATAAATATTAGGAACAGAGGAAGTTGCCTCACACTGAAGCAGATCACCGATCCATCTTGCTTACAGTGCAGTTATACGCATGTTTATGCAGAAGTTCTATTGAGTTAAAAGAGGCTTTGCAAACTGAGCTATAGCATTCCCACACTCACTGACAATTATTTAAATTCAATATTTTCGTAAAGATAAAGCACTTACCTTTCTTAATGTTATTGTCTTTTCTATGGGAAGCTCATCCAAAGGTAAAACCACTGAGATGTTACTTTCTGAGTTTCCTTTAAATGAAGCCAGCTAAAAATACACCAACAAAAATTAAAAGAAGGTATAGAAATTTAACACAAAATTTCTACATTACCCCAAGGTACAGTAACATTGACATATTTATCACAAGCTGATGTGCACCACTTCTGAAAGCTAAATGCAATTTGTGAATCCAGCCCTTGTTTTTGTTTCTAAAACCTCTAAATCCAGCTGTATACATTAAAAACAATATACACACATTTTAAAAATAGAGCTTTTTCACGTTGGGGGTAAAAGAGTTTGGTGACGAATCTCCCCCACTCACCTTTATTTGTTTCAGTCAAACCACATTAAATATTATTATTATTTATTTATTTATCCCCCGCCTATCTGGCTGGGTTTCCCCAGCCACTCTGGGCGGCTTCCAACAAAATATTAAAATACAGTAATGCATCAAACATGAAAAGCTTCCTTAAACAGGGCTGCCTTCAGATGTCTCCTAAAAGTCTGGTAGTTGTTGTTCTCTTTGACATCTGGTGGGAGGGTGTTCCACAGGCCAGGTGCCACTACGAAGAAGGCCCTCTGCCTGGTTCCCTGTAACTTAGCTTCTCGCAGTGAGGTAACTGCCAGAAGGCCCTCGGCACTGGACCTCAGTGTCCGGGCAGAACAATGGAGGTGGAGACGCTCCTTCAGGTATACTGGACTGAGGCTGTTTAGGGCTTTAAAGGTCAGCACCAACACTTTGAATTGTGCTCAGAAACGTACTGAGAGCCAATGTAGGTTTTTCAAGACTGTGTTATGTGGTCTCGGCAGCTGCTCCCAGTCACCAGTCTAGCTGCTGCATTCTGGATTAGTTGTAGTTTCCAGGTCACCTTCAAAGATAGCCCCACATAGAGCGCATTGCAGTAGTCCAAGCAAGAGATAACTAGAGCATGCACCACTCTGGTGAGACAGTCCGTGGACAGGTAGGGCCTCAGCCTGCATACCAGATGGGGCTGGTAAACAGCTGCCCTGGACACAGAATTGACCTGCACCTCCATGGACTAATAATTATGCACTATTATCAAAGGAAACATACCTTTGACCACTGCATCTTCTTAGGTAGTATGATCTCCAAATTTGACTGGTGATTCTTGATACAGTGGAACTGAATGACAGTTCTGTTACTAAGTCTGGTGTCTGGAGCCAGTGGAATCTTCTGTGTTTCCTCATAGGAACCCTTTATTGTTAATGTCAAATCACCTTCTAAACAGAAAAAAAAGTGAAGCACAAATAGTTCACTTGCTTCAAAAAAGGTTTTGTCCAAAAATCAATCTTGTCTATGATCCAGTTATTCAGAATCCTGGGAATTAAGAGGAGACCCATGCACAACAGGTAAAATGGGGTGTTGAAAATGGCAGCTCGTGATAATTCACATTTGAGAAGAATTCTTTAGCCAATTCCTACAGCTCTCTTCCAGTTCACCAGGACTGGTGACAGTGGCAATAAATGCAGGAATGGTGGCAGTGGATAAGAAATCTGGAGACCTTGAGACACCACCTCTCTGGCACTTTGAACATTAGCATCCAAGATGCGAGGTATCCTAATGTTTCAGGTACAAAAAAGGAATAATGCCTCTCAGACTCTAGAGCATGGAGTACGGTGGCCATATCATCTCTGTCCCAAAGGGGCAGTAGTTGGTGACAGAGATGATTTGGCCGCTGTACTCCATGCTCTGGAAAAAGGCACTCCTAGCCACTGAGGTCACCTGAGCCTCCAGTGACTGATTTATCCAGGAGCACCCCCAATCTGTGGACCTGCTCCTTCCAGCGAAGTGCAACCCCATCCAAAAGAGGTCGTCTCCGCATTTCTCAGATGTGAGAACTCAGGACACATAACACCTCTGTCTTCTCAGGATTCAGCTTCAGTTTATTGACCTACAACCAACCCATCACTACCTCCAGGCCCTGGTCTAACACCTCATCCTCCTCTCCCAATTCAGATGGAATAGGGAGACAGAGCTGGGTGTCATCTGTACATTGATGGCACTTGACGCTAACTCTCTTGATAGCAACTCGCAGTGGCTTCATATTGATATTAAATGCCATGGGGAACAAGATGGACCCTGCAGAACACCACAAGGCAACTCCCACGGTGCCAAACAGTAGCCTCCCATAAATTCTTTCTGGAGGTATTTCTGCTATATGGATTACATGTTCTTGTACATTCTGCATTCACCACCAATAGGATGAATGGGATGCGCAAGGAAGCAGTACATGAAGCAAAGGATGTGTGTGGAATGTAAATACCGGATATTCATTTGGAAGATATTCATTACCCTTCAAAACTGCCATGTGGACACATCACTAAACTGGATAAATCCCAAATACTGAGTCATAAAGACATTGTGAAATGGGTTAGTGCTATTTGGGACTGTCCACTCAAAGTACTTGAGTTTATTGAACAGTGCCACAAAAACACAACCTTCAAAGTGGCGTCAGTTGCAAATGTTTTTACTCAGGTAGGGACACCTAACCACAAAATAAATGAACACATTATCACGTGTGAAAGGCATGAGCTTATCAAATTCTTCTTTTATCCCTTGAAACCTGAAACAAGTAAAGGGTCAAGAAAATGTAATAGATGCGATCATTATATATCTTCCAGTGTTTGTAAGCTATTGATTTAAAGCAACAAATACATAACGAGTTAAAGATGCAATGACCTCACCTGTGTATTGTTCCTTCAGCTTCTCAATATCCACTGTAACTTCCAAACATGAAACTTCTCGTGACTGCAGGAACAATGGGGAAACAAAGAGCAAAATGATCAATGGAACCAAATAATTGCAAACCTGCAGCATGAGATCTGACTGGTTATTCCAAATTAGTATACAAAATCCAGCATTCTGCTTGGTCCCTCCAAGCTCCCAGTCTTGCTGTCTTCCCAACCTTCATTCTACTCTGCCCTTCCTTCCTATGACACACATCCCTGTTCCAAACCTTTTTATTGACAACTCAACTCTTTGCCTCCTTTGTTTCTCACTCCTTCAATCTGCCAAGTAGAGGTGCATCTGGCTCGATAAGGAGGGAAACACAGAAAACCCACCTAAACTATCCATTGTGGGAACTGGACATGCCAAGGACTGAACCTGAGGCTTTCTGCATGCAGAGCATGTGATGTATTAATGTGCTACAGTCCCTCTCTGAGACAATGGGTACTCCATAGCTGGAGGGAGAGCTCTGGACCATTACATTGTCACCCAACCGGTTGGTCATATCCAGACAGCTCTCTGATGACTGTTATTAGTCCTGCTTGATTAATGTTAACAAATTACCCTACTTTCCATGTAACCATAAAAGCCCAAAGAGGGTGTGATCCAGGTGGTTAAATGGCCTACATAGTTCTCATCAGGCTAGTAATTTCTAATCAACAACAAGAAGAAAAACATATGTAATTGCAAACCTCTGCAAAAAAGAAAAAAAAAATTAAGGGCTGATACATTCAAGTTGTGGGGTCGGAGATGGGGTCAAGTGAATAACAACAACAGAACCACTGGAAGGAATAGCAACTTGGTTGAAACCATTTTAACCAACAGATGCCATCTGCATTAGCTGAGCTGAAATAGGTAGAAGCAAGCAATTTAATCCCTCAGTACAGAAGCAACACAGAGTGTTACTTGCTTACTGCAAGACAATATGGGTTAAGGTTTGCATACAGCAGCCATTTCATAGAAAAGGACTATGAAAATGAATAATTACCACCAAAGTTCCATTTGTAATGATGTTTTCAGGATCATCTGGGCTGAAAAACAAAATGGCAGATGAAAATATTACAATCCGTTAGTATTTTCTATGGGACCTTTAAGGCACAAAATACATTGTATTTAGTTAAGTATTATACCTTAATACCTTACTATCTATACCCTTCACATTGCACAGGTTTTTATTGCCAACAGGCTCTTTTGACAGATGGGAAACAGAGATGTAAAGATGTATCCATTATGGACAGAAGTAAACACTGTTGGAAAAGACATTTAACTTCTAGAGCAGGGCTGGAGAACCTGGAGTCCTCCGGTTGTAGCTGAACTGCAGCTCCCATCATCCTGATCAATTGCCATGCTGGGTGGGCCTGATGGGAGTTGGAGTCCAACAACATTTGGAGAGTCACAACTTCCCACACCTTTTCTAGAGCTCTGGATGTTAAGCTACAGAACGAGGAGATGTGCTGCTGGTCCTCCTATAGTTCTTCCACTAGCCTCATATATGTTGTCATAGATTAGTGCTGCAGTGGACCCCAGAATTAGATTCACTTCAGTGTAGTAGACTTCTGAAGCAAATCATTCAATGTGAATCCACACTGCATCATGTGGTTGGAGCTCCATGTTCCCTTGCATTATGGATGAGGGAATTTCCAAGGCATTTGGCGGGTGGGTGGAATGGCAGGTCTCCTGACCCATTAAGACATCAGCCCTAATAATCAAAATGACCCCTAATCTCCACCTTCAGCTGGGAGGAGGGGTGGATTCTTGCAACAGCGACTACCTGAAAGCCTGTCTTTCAGTGCCACTTAGCTCTCAGCCCCCAGATCCCCAAAGGTGCTGTCCTCCCCCCCCCCCAGCACAAATGGAGCTTAGAAACTCTATTGATGTCAGTGTTCAATTGCTCTGCTGATCTTATATCCAGTCATTCCATCTCTGACACTGGCAGTCCCAACTGGCAGGGCCATCTTTAGCAGATGCAGCACCGGGGTGCAAATATCCTCCCAGATCTCCCAAATTACCACAGATAGTGTTGGGGTGGCCGTAGCTGCGCACTGCCAGCCATTGGGGGCGCAAGTCTCCCCCATGCCGCTGTGGGAGAGCAATCCCCGCAGAGACTTGGGAGTGAAGTTGCGCCCCTCCCAAGCTTCTGTGGGAGACAGCACAGCTTCCCTCCCAAGCCTTCTCAGGAGGAGAGCAATCCCCGCAGAGGCTTGGGAGGGAAGTTGCGCACCCGCCAGCCTTATGGTTGGCAGGGCACAGCTGGCGGGCATGCAGGGAAAGGGGAGGCCGCCAGCAAAGCCGTGCAGCTCCCCCACTTGCTGGGGCACCACTGAGAGGCCAGCGCCCTGGCGCGATGCACCACTAAGCCCTGTGGAAAAGACGGCTCTGCCAACTGGCTCCTTTGGTGCTCTGTGGTTTATACTATCTTGCCTTCTAATACAAAGCTGCTATGAGCTGCTCCTGATTGTGAGCCCTATAGCCCAGCATGAGGAGGTTTCACGAGTTGTAGGGAAGGAGAAAATGTCCCTTTCTCTTTCCCACTTCCTAAAAGGACTCCACTTCTTAGGTGGCAGGGAGATCAGGGCCAGTCCAAGACAGTTTGCTGCCTAAAGCAGAAGCCAAGATGGCACATTCCTACACACATGTAGTTCCACAAAGAGAAGTGACTGGACTGGCAGCAGACCCTTACTTCAAGAGGAATGCCCCCAGCATTTGTCACCTTAAGCAATTGCCGCCCTCTGCCTAACGGTAGGGCCAGAGAATCAGAAGAATCTATTTGCAACAGCCACAAGCCATAGCAATAAAATAAAATACAACAGACTGAAGACAGAGGTAAAAACTTAACAATACAAAATACATTCTGGAGGTTTACATCTATAATCAAATAATAGATCTTATTCTAATCGCCCCTGCTAAAAGAAATTGCCATTTTTGCTGTCACCTGGTTATCTTGATTTGCTAGAAGGAAGGACACAGTAGCAAAGGTTGAGTAGCAGAGGAGTATGTACTACAATAGAAACATTGGCAGCTTTCCTACACCAAGTGAGACCACTACTCCAGCTTACTCAGTATTATCAAAACTGACTGGCTACAGCTCTCCAGGGAAGGCTCTCTCCCACACTTACCTGGAAGTGTCAGGGATTTAACCTTGGGCCTACTGCATGCTCTGAGTTACTAGTCTTTGTTGTGGATCCCTATTTGTAGCAACTGAAGACTTTCCAAGAATTTTTGCTTCAGGGCCTGCTAGTAAGCCAAGTCCTGACATTGTAATGTTGGCAGGTCTGTATATTGGATTCATTTATTTTTATTTTTTGGTCTTTTTAGTAGTCAAATGTCATTTTAGATAGCATGTGGAGTTTCATATGCAGCCATGAATCAACTGTCTTCAGCCAAAGGAAGCAGGAGCAGCCGGTGGAGTATTTCAAACAAAGAATATTGAGGTTCATAATGTGTTCTGGCAAAATGAAATTTACACCCTTCATTACACCCCAATACTTCCAACGTAGTGTGTAAAAAAATAGGAGAGGGAGAGTCCCTTTGACAGAACATCATAACGTAACCTAGGACTCAGCTGGATTGGTAAAGAAAAAGTGATTTATATGCATTGAATATGCGATATAATGTTGTACCACCAAATGGCATTATGGAGTCCCGTTTTTTCTCTATCTGGTTGCCCTGTTTAAATTTACAGCATTTAACTGAAACACTTCTTTGGTGTGTCTAGATCCAGCCCAAGTGTTAATGTTATAAGGTAGCAAATTTAGCTTCTGCTAAAACTAAAAAAAAAAGGAGAAACTAATGTTGAGTGTGAATGTGTGCAACGGAAGAAAAGATGAAATCAAACTCTGGTAATGCAAGGGGAGACAGTGTGAAATGTACATCTAAAATGTAAGAAGTACTGTATATGTTCCAGGAAAATAAGTGGAAGTTAAATGATAAAAGGGAAAGGTGGGTGGCACATCATGTGTATGGCGTATGAAATCTCCTAGCACTATTATCAGCAGCAATTACACAAAAAAATCCCATCTGGCTACAACCTATAAGCACTGTTCTGACAAATGCCCCCCCCCCAAAAAAAAAGAAACGTTGCCCCAAATACTCCAGGCAAATTTATAGTGGGCCTTACTGAACACTTCTTTCTTTCATGGCTTGCCAAATGTCAGAATTATTCATTAATCTCTGACTACAACAATTCCATAAGGATTCAACTCAGTCAATATCTACAATGGCACAGATATGAAACATTTCTACCAAAATGAAATGAATGCATAAGTTGGTGTGAAGTTTGGTCTAAAAGGCTGTCTTTTCTCCTGAAAAACACTTGGATGGGTTCACAGAACAATTCACCTTCACCTCGCTGTGAGAATGTAAATATTGTAGGGGACAACCCAGTGCAGTGTAGTGGTCAAAGAACAGGACAAAGACTCAGAAAATTCAGGTTTAGATCTCTTGGGCCAGTTATGCTCTCCCAGCATAATCTTCCACACAGGGGTGTTGTGAGGATGCATTCGGGTGGAGCATGAAGAAACTTGTTAGCCATTCCGAACGCAATAAAAACACAATAAAATAAATTATAAAAACAGTGCCAGCACTAAAACAAATATTTAAAAAAATGGACGAATACTTTACTAAAAAGAAAAAACATACAAGTTTGATTTTTCTTCATAGTCAATGTTTTAATATATATCTTATACATTTTATACATTTATTTACATTTTTCTTTAGCTTTTTTCCTTTGTTGTTTTCATGTAAGCTTCTTCCTGTTCCAGGAATACATAATCGTGCTCAATTTCAAACCTGTTGGAAAGAAAGTGAGAAAAGTTAAATTAACCACCCATAGGCAGCATGTCCACAAAGATCAATTTTTAGGAATCAAACTCCCTCCTATGAGCCCAGGTCCATGAGTAGGGCTTTCATGGTTTCCTCATCCATTTCCACAACAAGAAGAAGCCACAGAAGGGCTGGTGGGAACCACAATATTCACATAATACAAGGTGAGAAGTTTGTCTTCTATGCCTTGTTACATACTCTTTAACCTTCTTCTCTCAGTCAAATGCCCCAAAGTGGGGGGAAAGGATGCCTTCTGGTATAGACATGCCCTATAAATTACGTTTAGGAATGTGAAGCGCCATTTGCTTCTTCGAGAGCTACAAAAAGTTTATTAACCTCGAATCCTGTGCTCCGTTAGAAGCCAGGAGGCCTAGGGATATCGATACTGCGAATCCACCGGATCCAGCGTGTTCCCGTCGCTATAAGGCCTCCTTCATTATCACCACCACGAGGAACAGGAGGAGGAGCAGTAGTACGTGCAGCAGCAGCAACTCGGGGCTGTCTTTGGACCCTATGAACAAACAAGAGGAAAAAATGCTGTCACTTGTGAAACACGACAAAGCAATACAGGAAAACAAAAACATACCAATGGAGTAACTTAAGAAAGAAGAGGAAGAACTTACCTCCTCAGTCCCTGCCTGCTGGGGCATCAGTTGCCTCCTTTAGGTAAATCTGGCCTCCATGTGGAGACTCAGTGGAGGATAGCAAAAGCATTCCCTTGACTCACCCCTGTGTAAAAAGGTAAAGGACCCCTGGACGGTTAAGTCCAGTCAAAGGCGACTATGGGGTTGTGGCGCTCATCTCACTTTCAGGCCGAGGGACATGGCGTTTGTCCACAGACAGCTTTCCGGGTCATGTGGCCAGCATGACTAAACCATTTCTGGCACAAAAGAACACCGTGACAGAAGCCAGAGCACACAGAAACACCGTTTACCTTCCTGCCACTGCGGTACCTATTTATCTGTTTGCACTGGTGTGCCTTCAAACTGCTAGGTTGGCAGGAGCTAGGACAGAGCAATGGGAGCTCATTCCGTCGCACAGATTTGAACTGCTGACGTTCTGATTGGCAAACCCAAGAGGCTCAGTGGTTTAGACCACAGCGCCACCCCCTGTGTACAGCTGCTCCAAGTGGTCGGAGGAATCATGGCATCTGGCTCGAGCATGAAGTTCCTACATACCTGCTTCACAACATGATGCTTCCCAGCTTGAAGCACTCAGCTTGTGAACTGAGCACTTTGTCCCCCACAGTTCTTCTCTGGCTCAGTAAACTTCTGAACATGTGTGCCACAACAATAACTACTCAGTAGAGATATCAGGAGTCTGAGATGCCACTGAACATGCTCATGACAGAAACCCAAGTGCCTTGGGCCTTGTGGTTTCCAGGGCTCCTGGACATCCCTACAGAATCCCTGGTGCTGCCATTCCAGTGTCCCAGGCATCAGGAAGGAATGGCCATTGCTCCCATTGCAAAGGAAAGGGGCAGAATTCAGGAATTTACAGGTGTGGGAGAAGGAAATGGCATTTTGACCCATTCACACTCCCCATGATGTTATCAGAACTGCAGCACAACTTCCACATACAGTCATACCTCGGGTTGAATACGCTTCGAGTTGAGTGCATTCGAGTTGCGCTCCGTGGCAACCCGGAAGTAACGGAGCGCGTTACTTCCGGGTTTCGCCGCTTGCGCATGCGCAGACGCTCAAAATGACATCGCACGCATGCGCAGAAGCAGCAAAAAGCGACGTGCGCAGACGTGCCGTCACTAGTTACGTTTGCTTCTAGATGCGAACAGGGCTCCGGAACAGATCCAGTTCGTATCTAGAGGTACCACTGTATTGGTACTGGGCCCAGAAAAATAAGATGTGTTGGAATATACAAATTGAGCTGAACAGAGTTCACCCATCGCAAATTTTGTTCATGGATCACGTAACACCAATAGCAAATACTGATGTCTCGTAGTAACAGAAAGAAGCGCAGCTGCAATGCTGTAATGTACACAGACACACCAACAACTGTTGTTAAATTCAAAATTTCACCATTTTTTGGTACCAGCAATTCTACACAGGCATTTCATGTTGACATGCGATTTTATTAGGTGTAAATGTTTTTAAATGACTCATTTTATTTGTTATATTTTATTTTTGTGTATCTTGTTTTTAATGTTTGTATCTTATTGGTACTGTCTTGTAAAGCACTCAGAGGCATTTTGTTCGAGTAAGTGGTATACGTATTTTGTTAAGTAAAATAAAAAATTAATGTTAACTATTGAATCAATCGATTTTGTTATGGTTGTGATGCCATATATGTAATACCAAATGTAAAGGTAATTTCCAATGCCAGGTGATGGGAGTGTGGAGAGAGAGAGAGAGAGAGAGAGAGAGAGAGAGCGAGAGCGAGCTGACTGTACTTGGAACAAGAAGTTCCCCTTTACAAATCCACACATAAAATTCCCAGAAAAATGGCATGGCATACAAACTGAAAGTTGTTCCTATAGAAATTATTAAACCAAAGTTAAAATAATGCCATCTGCTTAAGAGTTAGTGATTCCTTCCAACTCTATGATTCCACGATGAGATGTTTCAAGTGATGTTTAGCGCTCATGAACCACACTGAACTACAGTGGTACCTCAGGTTACAGACGCTTCAGGTTACAGACTTTGCTAACCCAGAAATAGCACCTCGGGTTAAGAACTTTACCTCAGGATGAGAACAGAAATTGCACGCCAGCGGCGTGGTGGCAGCAGGAGGCCCCATTAGCTAAAATGGTACCTCAGATTAAGAACAGTTTCAGGTTAAGAACAGACCTCTGGAATGAATTAAGTTCTTAACCCGAGGTACCACTGTACTTGTCTCCAGTGGCAGATAAGCAAGGGCAGCAGAACGAACTCCCCCTGCCTTGTCTGCCTGAGGCTGCACTGCTTAAGCTGACAAAATGAGCACACCCCTGACCAGTCGCTGCCATGCCATTCAAACTCCTGCTGCTGGCAGCAACTGCCTGCCTGGACCCTCTGTGGCCAGGCCAATGCCTTGCTGAGATGTGAAGCGCCAGTGTCACCCCACCTGAGCCCCCCACTGACACCTCCTTGATTTATCTTCCCCATCTAAAATGGTCAGGCCTCCTTGCATTTTGAAAACATGTATAAAGACATGGTCAGAAAAAATTCTGAAATCACATGCCCTTGTCCTTTCAGAAGGACCAGCGTCAAATCTTAGAGCCACTTCAAACATGATGAATCACTATTCCATGGAAAATGGAAAACTATTGGCAATTGCTGCTCACCTGACTACTTCGTTCACTGCATGGTGTACAAGTGAGGTTAATGATTCACATTTTCCCAACCCATATAGGTAGTGAAGCAGATCCAGGAGAGGTACACATAGTGTGCTGCACTCCGCTTGCACACTTCTCCCACATTATTTGAACATATTTGGAGCATCTCTTAGACGCATGCACTCCATCTCCCAAAGCTCCTGGGACTAAGGTCATTTGCAGTTAGTGCCATTTTTAATAAACAAAGACACACAATTTAAAATATTTCCAGGTGAGTTCCCTTCCAGGCATTTTTAAGACACAAAGAGTAAAACATAAGCAGAGTATAAATGGGTTCAGGTTTTATGTGTTTCACCTGTTTCTGGGATAAAAATGCTATAAGGAAATAAGACACCATTATGCAGCCAGTTTTTCAGCCTGAAGAATGATACCTGATAGTGAATATACTAATCCAAACAGGGTTGGAACACACAGAGGGCCAAAGACTGAGGCCACCACAGAACCAATGTACAGTTTCACAGCCACTCTTTCAGTGGATAACATTAGTATAATGTTAATGTTAGTATAATTTTAGTATAAAAAATAAAAATCTCGGGACCAGATTCAACTAAGCTATTCTGCTAATGGAAGCCAGTGCAAAGCTCTTACAAGTGCAAGAGGGCTTCTCCCACACACTTCCCCTCAAAGTGCTACCACATAATTACACCAGATTTCATTAGCATGGAAGAAATGCTTTTGAATTTGCATTTTTGAAACCTGCCATATTTTGAATTGGCTAGACTTTTTTTTTTTTTTTTGCTTTGCTTTGTATATTGTATGCTCATAATTCAGCTCAAATGCTGATGGTAAAAAAAATGAGCCTCTTTTCGGTTTCATTGACTAATCTCAGCACAGCTAATTTCTCTCACCAAGGCAAACACACCAGCAAGTAACAGATTCCTAAGCCACGCAAGAAATGTGTTTGCAGAAGCCCTGCTAATCGACCATTAAAACCACAGTCTCCCCAACATCTGTGTTACACACAAACACACAAGTTAAATTATAATTGCCTCTTATAGCCGCAGTGATGTGATTCTGCACATAAATTATAGTCTTTGCAATATTAAGAGTTGTACTCACATGGGCTGTAATGTGAACTCTACCTCCAACTCTTCCTGTGTCTAAAAAAAATAGGAAAAAGAATGACTCCTCCCTATACAAAATCTCCTTTTCTACATATCCAATGATAATTTTTTATTTTTGGCACTTTACCCTTCTCCCAGCTTGTAGAGTCAAGTAATGATTATGCCTCATTATCATAAGTATCATTTTATGTGTTCACAGTATTTCAGTATCAATGTAGACACTGTTTGCATGCTACAACCTTAGTTCCTTCCTGAAAACAGTCCCACTAGTTCTCCTCTCCTTTCAGACCCATGAGGAGACAGGAAGCTTCCATTTCCAATTTTAAACAACCTAGTATTCCCCATGACATTCAAACTTGGGGGACTTTGATTTGTTTAAATTATGGTTAGTGAAATTAAACCAGGATCTGAATGTTCTCAAGCCATGGTTTAAACAATCCACAGTTCCCAGAGTTCAGATGTCACAAGGAATACCAAGTTCTTCTAAATCAGGAACAATGTATTCCAATCTCCTCTGGTACACAAAATAAGTTAAGAGGGGGATTAAGTAGACGTATAAACATAGCAGTAGACCATTGCTTTCCCTTACGTATGAGCTGAGCTAATGTAAGTTTACATTTGGAAAGTTACACTTGTGTATCTGAACATAATTCAATTATTCCTTCAGCTCCAGAAAATGTGTTCTTGAAAAAGTTGATTCTAAAAGCAGTGAAGTAAAGTAGCAAGTACATCTCTTGTTTGTAACAATATGAAACACAATATTATTTTGTTTACCATACTCACTCTAAAGGATTCTAATACAATTAAGCTTTAGTGACTTATTTTATAGTTCCATAATTAATAATAAAAATAAATTAACTAGACAACCATGAATATATTGGATTTTCATTTTCCCCCACTGACAAGCTCCATGATTTTCAAGAACTTCTATGTTCTTTTCAGCCCAATTGTAATTTAAACTTTGAAAAGAGTTTAATTTTGAAAAGCCATTTAAGCAATAATTTGGCTATCAACATTATACATGAGCAAAATCAGCAAACAGGTTTACTCTTTAAAACGCACACAAATGACCAAATGTTGACAAAACTTAGATTCTGAGTGCCAAAATTGCTGAGAGGTTCACACTTTTGGTCATTATCATATCAGCCTGGGTGCCCTGGAAATGTTATTTAAAAATCCACACATTAATCAAAATGCAATAAAGCGAGTATCTAATGAAGGGTGAAGTTCAATAATGCAATAATGCAATAATTACATGAATGCATGTAAGCATCTAGGCTCCCAGATAGGAAAATCCATCTGCTTTGCTCTCTCATCTGGTCCTGCTGCTTCTACAATGCAGAGACCTAAACCATGGTTGGCATAGCACATCATCTGAACCCAGGATTATGGTTTGACTCACTCCAGACAAACCACAAAGTTTGTTGGAGGGCTACATCCCTTGGTTTGTCTTGAGGAGATAAACCACGAGCCATGGCTTAGCTCACTGCAACTGCAGAACTAGAAGCTGAGCAAAGCAAGAGTAATGTCCTTTAAGCAACAGTTTGACTTAGTGCTCCATGGAAACTGAGCCAATATGTCACAGGCATGCAGTTGTTTCACTGTATATTTCTCAGTGTAACTTCACCACTCACCGCTGGATTCAAGTTGAAGTTCACACGACTAGTTCGCCCAGTTTGCAGTTTACCGACATCAAAGAGAACTGTGAAAAGGTGGTCATCTTTGGTGAATGTATCTTCATCACAGACTTTTAGCTCCAGAATATTCTAGTAATAGAAACACATTGTGATAATAATTCTTTTTAGAAAACTGTATTGTGAGTTTCAAAGAAATGACAAATGAACTATGCAGGCTAGCATATGCAAGTTCTGTTTCTTTAGGTCCATGAGGGATATGTAAATAAAACAGCCTATCCTTCTGGTTCCTCACTCCTAAAACTTATAGGCCTCTCCCCCATGTCAACTCCAAATATCATCCATTTGGGAGGTAAATTTGATCTCTATCTGGGGCAACTCATTCCCATGGAGAAATTCACTTATGTTCTTTGCTGCTCTCTTTTCAGAAGCAGGTAAAGAAATTTTGGAGACTGCTATTTTTCTATTGTTTTATATAATTTTCAGCTGTGCTTTTATATTGTTTTAACAATGCATTTGCTTTTATTTCGCTCTGTAAACTGCCTTGTGAAGATTGCTATTGTAAGACAGTCTGTAAGCTTATTTTAGTTTTGTTTAAAAGCATTTATAAATGTAAACTTGAAAAAATGAATGAAATTCTTAATTTTAATCAGCAGTGTTGCACACTTTGGGAGTTCATCTTATGTGGGGGGAATACTAAAGGTAAATGGCCACATTTTGCCTGCATACTGCTTAAATTATTATTATTATTTTTAATGCTTTGGGTCACTATGCTCATTCAGGGTGGAATCCATTTGGTTCCCTTGTGAGATGTTGCAGTGTGGACGGCTCCTGCTCAGGCTTCCAGCCAACCAGCTCTGCTTTCTTCCAGGATATTCCATTCCATTCCATTACCCCTCTAGCCCAATTTTCTCAACCCCCCACCTGACAGTTGGTATTCCATGTCTGCTGAGCATGATCAGTCTTTACTACACTGTTTTGTGGTGGGTTCCCTGTCCATCCGTCCCCACACACACACATAGGTTTTTTCACTAAATATATTTTGGGGTTTCTGCAACCCTTTGAGTTCCTCCAAACCCACTGCCACTTCCCTCTTGCATGCAGATGTTGTCCCAGACTCAGAGAATGAGTTTGGGAATAGTATATAAGATTCATTTGTTAACAGAACCTAATGAGAATGACCAACATGGGGAAAAATACACATGGTCTCACCTTTACACGGCTGTCAATCCTGTAGCAAAAGGATTGATTCCACACTGGATTTTTACTGTTGGAAACAGTTATGGTCCGGACTTTTTCACTTGTAGCAGTTGGCAAGGATAGACACACGTAGCAATCAGATTCAGTAACTGTAGAATAAGATGATAAATTATATAGGAGTCCTTCAACGCTGACACAGATAGGGCATTACTAAGGCCTCGTTTGCATTATAAATTTACAGCAGTATCATACCACTTTAACCAGTCATGGTTCCCCCCCCCCCAAAAAAAGTAGAGTTTGTTAAGAGACCCATATTCCCCTCCCAGAGCTACAGTTTCCTGGGAGGAGGGACTGTCTGTTAAACAACTTAGGGAATTGTAGGTCTGTGAGGACAATAGGGAAGGGTGCTGGAGTCTGACTCAGGGGATGGGGAGTAGTGTTTGGTGGGGACCGGTACCAGCCAGGAGGCAAGAATCAGAGGCAGGAGGCAAGCTTCAGGGCTAGAGGAAGAGGAGGAAAAGGCAGGCCAGGCAAGTGAAGGGCTAGGTGCTTCCCCACCCTCCCCTGCACCACTGTCTCCCAGAATTAGGAAGGAACTGAAAAGGGATGTGCAAAGGAAGTTTCCAAGCAGGCACCATCATGGGCTGCATGCACACAGCCCATTGGCAGGGAGGTGGGGAGGGCTGGCCCTGTTTCCACAACTGCTCCATAGAGCACAGACCTGGAAATAGCTGCCTAACCATTCAGTAGCATAGCGTGGGTTGCCAGTGTCCAGGGCTGTGCAGAGGAAAGAGTAGGAGGGAGGGAAATGGAGGAAGTTAGCATGCACATTCAACTGTCTAACAGCATCCACATCACCCGGGAGATCGCAGCAACAGAGATGAGAAAATAAGAGTCATTCCATTGACTGGAAAGGCCACTTCCTGGAAAAGCAGCTTTCAACAGAGCCCGGCATCAGAAGTGCACAGCTGTATTGAGGCAGCTCTGGGTGTTGAAATTTTGTGGCCCTAATAATTTTGAGCCTGAGACAACTGCCCTTGTGCCATCCCCATGCTACACCACTGTAGCTCTGAGCCCAGCTTTGGCTGGGGAGGGCGGGATATAAATAATTTATTGTTATTATTATTATTATTATTACTACTACTACTACTACTACTACTACTACTACTACTACTGTTGGTGTGTGTAGATATCCAGAGCTGTAGAAGTGACTGTGTTATCTTTGACAACAGATATTTAACTATCTGCCTTATGTATTCCTTTGGCTGAGAAGCACCCCTGACAGAGAGAATCAAGGCCTCCTGGGGTATTAAGGCTGTGAGCCCCTCCATCATAGGTTCAGGTTGTATATATGTGTAAATAAACCATATATCATAAAGACACCACAGTCACCGCTGTCCATTATTCTGAAGAAACCAAACCTTGGGTAATCTCACACCACACAAAGATTGGGGTGGCATGCAACAATAATGTCCAAACTAGCCAAAATTCCAGTGTCCTTAAATATTATTATATACAGTAAATAATATATACTGTTTATATAGATATTATATACAATCTGTATTATCTACTTTTTGCCAAAGGTTTAAAAATACCTGTTCATAAAGGGCTTGAAAGAATCCACCTGTACCATTTGTCTCAATCTTTAGGTCTCTCTCTTACATAATTGCAGCTTCCTATTACATCACCTCTTTCCTAATAAGCATATCATTTTGTCATCACTAGCCAGCACTTAAGAGCTTTGCATTTTTACATGTACAAGAAAAGACATTTTGCAGAGTGTTGAACTCGTATGTGTCCAGTGACTGGTAATTAATTGCCATGTAGCAATGTAAGTCAACAGTAATGAATCACTTGGCGGCTGCAATCTTCAAAGGAGTCACACTCGTTTAGCATTGTCTTGAATATGTAATACCTTGGGTGTTAATTAAAAAAGCCACATCCCCACCCTTCTATCCCACTTAATGCTCATCAGCATGGATCCAAAAACAAGAAAGCTCAGAGAAGGAAATAATCCTCTTGCCTCCACCTGCCTTACCCCATGGCCAGCTGTGCCCCTAAAATCCTCTGGTGGGTTGTGGGCCTTCATAAACAATGCAGGCTGGAGCACAAGAAGCTGGTGGGAGGGAGGGAGGAAAGGGATGAGAAACTTTTCTTCCATGAACTTCCTTAAGTTAACTGGAGGGCTCCAGGCTGGGAAAGGCTGCCATAAGACAATAACAAATTGGCTTATTGGGAAGGGGGGAGCATTCAGATGTGAGGAAACAGGAAGCCAAGCTTATTTGTGGTTTCCTAATTTGTTTCTCCCATTCATTCCTGGTGAGCAGCAAAATGGGAATGATCACGGAGCATGTAGCAGCACGCTGCTGTCACACAAGAAGAACCGCAATGAACCAGAAAACTGGGCTTAGTCATTATGACATGTGAGCATGACCATTGAAGTCCAAAAGTGGGGTGAAGGATAGAAGGCTTTATCCCGTGAAGCAAGGAGGAGCAGGAATGTGGGACTAGAGGATGAAAACTCAATATTTGAGCATAGTGAAACCATTGGTCAAAGCAGACCACCTTCTCCTTCTCCCTGTGGGTGGCAGGATTAGGAAATCAAACGTTGCCTTTGGATCCTGTGTTGCTGCCAAATGACACAACTGCCATCCCCGTGTAACAGTATATGAAACAGCAATGTTAAGATGTTTTATGTTTCTGTAATGCCACAGAGTGACAATTGACTCATTGTTACAATTAATAAGTCATTACTTGACTTATTCCTATAAGCAGGAAACAAAGTGTGGTGGAGTCACTGGGGCACGTACTGTATCATGTTCCTAATAGCTATGAAGTATTCTGCCTGTCGGACAACATATCTGTCTGCCCCAGGTGTCTAAAATGAAAGGAAGTCACAGAGATAACCGGGGCCAAACATTTGCAATGTAACCAGAAATAACTTGTTTTCTACATATAACCCTAGAAGACAAACCTTTCCATAAGGAACCATATTTTGAGGATCGGGTGGTGGGGAGCCATTAAAACTAAGGATGCTTTTTCCATGGGGCTTCATATATTTAGGTTTTGTTTTGTTTCAATGGAGTTGTTTTTAAAGGACTCCCTTGACAATCAAACATTATTCAGAAAGGATGGATGAGAATTGTCATTTGAAGGTTCATGGAATCTGGTGGACAGTGTGGATTTCTTTTGCAACGATAACTGTTGTATGGAACTGGGGTGTGCACCAACCACAAGATTCAGTTCACAACCTGATTTGGTACTTCAGACAACAGCTTGATTTGTTCTGAAGCACTTTGGTGTCAAATACAAATCCTGATTTTGGAAGAAGAAGAAGAAAATGAAGCATCATGGACTTCCTATTCACTAAATTCCAACCCACTGCTCCCTCCATTGGTGGAGTAGGAGTAGAGGCAGCAGCAACTTCTGGTGGGATCTCACCAAAACCTCACGAGGCCTCACGGTGTGCACAGAATCTCATAAGATTTTGGTGAGAAGCTGCCACTGTGCAAGCTTTGTAAGGGAAGTGGCAGTGTGGGCAGAATTCTACCCCTGTGTAAGGTCAAGTAGAAAGTATCTTTCAGATGACCCTGGTGGTCTATCTTGACTCAGTCCATGTTCCTCCTTCATCATATAGATGCCAGCAGGATCTTGAGGGATCATGACAAGTCTTCTCTTGCCGATAGACCCACTCTAGAAATAAGGGAACCCTTTGCAGACATTGCATGAAGACTGAATGCTCAATTTACCAAAGCAGTAGCAACTTCAACAATAGTGTTATACATTTTGGGGACCCCAAAAACCCTAGAAATTAATAAATGGTAAAATTTTCATTATCTGGAGTACTGAAGCAAAGATTGCAGGCCAGTGGAAAAATACAAGCTAAGCTTCCTTTCCAAACCTCACCTGGGATAGAGGCATTAACATGACAAAAGGTTTTTAATCTGTTGGGAGCCACCCAGAGTGGCTGGGGAAACCCAGCCAGATGGGCGGGGTATAAATAAATAAATAAATAAATAAATAAATAAATAATTTGCCCATCTAAGAGGAATCTTGGGCCTGGGCAGACAGAAAGATTGCCAGGGTAACTGGGTGTGAGATGACAAGAAAAGAGTGTCTTTAGAAAGATGTGCTGGGAAGAAGGGGGAGAAAAAAAGAGATACTCACAAATATCTGCCTTCTGGATATTCCTGGCTCTCAGTATTCTTATTGTGAGGAGTCTGAAAGGAGTTTCTTCTTTGTGCTGATATAAAAAAAGCAACAATAAATGAATGGACATGGGGATTTGAGGGTGCCCATTAACATGCATATATACAAATAGGATGGGAAATGAATGACATAGCATAAAATGGGGAAAAGTTTTGCTTCTGCAATTTGGTGATTTCTCACTGATGCAATGCAGTACTTCACAAAACACCTGCCCTGTTTGTATTGCATATTTTAGAAAAAAGTGTTAAAGAGTTAGAGAAACAAATAAGCAAAAATTTATTAGAGTCAAGCCTCACAACCCCAAACAGGAAACATTTCTCTGAGTGTCATTTCTAGCCAAGGAGAGTCCTTATGAGACCTCTCCTCTTTAATAATAATAATAATAACAACAACAACAATAATAATAATAACAATAATAATAATAATTTATTATGTATACCCCACCCATCTGGCTGGGTTTCCCCAGCCACTCTGGGCGGCTTCCAACAAAACACTAAAATACAATAACCTATTAAACATTAAAAGCTTCCCTAAACAGGGCTGCCTTTAGATGTCTTCTAAAAGTTTGGTAGTTATTGTTCTCTTTGACATCTGGTGGGAGGGCGTTCCACAGGGCGGGCGCCACTACTGAGAAGGCCCTCTGCCTGGTTCCCTATAACTTGGCTTCTCTCAGCGAGGGAACCGCCAGAAGGCCCTCGGCGCTGGACCTCAGTGTCTGGGCAGAATGATGGAGGTGGAGACACTCCTTCAGGTATACTGGATTGAGGCCGTTTAGGGCTTTAAAGGTCAGCACCAACACTTTGAATTGCGCTCGGAAACGTACTGGGAGCCAATCTTTGATAGTGAGCCCTCTGCATCACTTCCCAAAGTAGGGATCTCCACACACACACACACACACACACTTGGGGAAGGTAGAGAAGGGAGGACCTGCTGCAAACAATGACTCAGCATAAGAGCAGGTAGAGAAGGAGCTGGATATATGAGTCTCCGACTCCTCTGTGCTTTTGCAGGGTTAATAGCTCCTCACTGAGCTCACTGGGCTCCAGAAATCTTCCTGACTCAGCTGCTGCTACAGCCCTGACTCTGGCTCCAGCCTCCTGGACTCATTAAAAGTAAAACAAGTCTATCAGTGACAACAAGCAAAACAGCTTGTTCCTTGCTGCACAAGTTCATATCTGTGCATCTGGCAGCTTCGCTGCTACAATTGTTTTAACTCTGTGTGTATTTTAAAAAAAATATGTGGGGTTTTGTTACTGTTGTTTTTTTCTTGAGGGGAGATGTGCCTGGGAAGAGCAGGGGCCCAATTGTAAGTGCTGGTTTTGACCTATAAAGCCTTAAATGGCTCAGGACCGCAATACCTCAATGACCACCTCTCTCCTTATGAACTTACCCGGACCCTGCAATCATCATCTGAGGCCTTTCTTCAGGTCCCTCCTCCATGAGAGGTCTGGAGGGTGGCACAACAAGAATGGGTCTTTTCAATAGTGACTTCCTGATATGGAATGCCCTCCCTAGGGAGGCTCGCCTAGCACCTTCGTGCAATATCTTTAGGCGCCAGGCAAAAACATTCCTCTTCTTTCAGGCCTTTGGGTAATTTAACAATCTATGGCCTTTTAAAGGGGACATGGGTGGTGCTGTGGGTTAAACCACAGAGGCTAGGGCTTGCCGATCAGAAGGTTGGTGGTTCAAATGCCCGCAACGGGGTGAGCTCCCGTTGCTCGGTCCCTGCTCCTGCCAACCTAGCAGTTCAAAAGCACATCAAAGTGAAAGTAGATAAATAGGTACCACTCTGGCAGGAAGGTAAACAGCGTTTCCATGCACTGCTCTGGTTTGCCAGAAGCGGCTTATTCATGCTGGCCACATGACCCGGAAGCTGTACACCAGCTCCCTCGGCCAATAAGACGAGATGAGCGCCACAACCCCAGAGTTGGCCACGACTGGACCTAATGGTCAGGGGCCCCTTTACCTTTATGGCCTTTGTAATTAAGTTAGATATTTTTGTGTTTTTATATTGTAAACCACCCTGTGATCCTCAGATGAAAGCTGGTATAGCAAATTAATAAATAATAACATAAACAAACAACGATGATGTAATCTGCTGCTGCAAACTATGTTTCCCCAGGCTCGTGCTAAAACACAATGGAGACAAACCAAAGAAACATGAGCACACAGAGCCTGACTGATTTGCTCAGAAGTCTCTACTGGATGAATCACAAAGGAATTCTCCGCCTCCTTCAATTGCCCAATTTCATTATGTTGTTCTGCCTCTGTGGTCTGAATTTCAATTCGGTGAACTTCCCACGCAATAATCAATGTGGTGCAATGCTTCGCAGCACAATGCTGGAATTAGTGTGGTGCTTCACAACATACTGCTGGAATTGTTAGGAAACTGGGACGAGGCAAGATATGGTGGGATTTCAAACCCTGTGGTGTCATGCTGACATCACAAGGCGGAATTACCACACCATGTCCAACCTGATGGGAAGAGCTATCCATTTGGAAATCACCATGTGAATCAGCCATGACTGTCATGTTCTGTTGCACTGTTTGCCAGTGACTATTACTAATAGTGACTATTACTATTATTATTACTAATATGAAATGTGAGGGAAATGTGAGGGACTACCAGTGCAAGTTTAGCCAATCAAACATAAAGCTTAAAAAAAGTTAAAGAAAACTGCATGCTGTGTGTTGAAAGAAAACTATATGAAAATGATGTATCGTTGGTATTTAATACCAAGCAAACTGGCAAAGATGTATAAAACTAGTTCAAATGTTTGCTGGAAATGTAAAAAAGAAGGAAGGTACTCTTTTCCATATGTGGTGGGTATGTGATAAAGTAAAGGTGTTCTGGGAAATGATCTATAATGAGTTAAAGAAAATGTTTAAATATACATCTGTTAAGAAACCAGAAGCCTTTTTGTTAGGTATAATAGGAGAAGAGCTACCGAGAAAAGACAAACAATTATTTATGTATGCAACAACAGCAACAAGAATATTACTAGCCCAGAAATGGAAGCAAGAAGAACTACCATCAAAAGAAGATTGGCAAACTAAGCTAATGAACTATGCAGAAATGGCAAGACTGACAAGGAAGATCAGAAACCAAGGAGATCAAGTATTTGAAAAAGAATGGAGTAAATATTTGAATTATTTAAAAGACCATTGTAAGCACTTAAAATTATTGGCAGAATTGTGAAGAGCTTGTATTGTGAATGTTTATTATAAGATTATTATTTTTGCATATTTGATTCAGAATTGGTATATTAATACATGCAGTTAATTGGAAATTATTTTAGAAACCCGTGGAGGGAAGGGAGGAGGTCTGAAGGTTAAATTGAAGTTGTAAAAAAAGATATAAAATATGGATGTTAAGGAAAATGTGAAAACAATAAAAATATTTATATAAAAAAAAATCAAACATAAAGCTGAGGGTAAAATTCACTAAGGTGACAGAACACATGAGATCTCAGGAGATTTTGGTGAGCTCTTGTGAGCTCTCATTGGAAGCCAGCGCTTCATGGGCACTTCATTCAGGTAAGAAAGGTGTGGCACTGGTGGCAGGGGGGCAGCAGAGGCGTGCGGCATGCTCTCATTTTGCCTCAACCTGCAAAACGGAACACACCACCTCTGCGTCCCCTCTCCTCTCCCCATGCGCTCTTCTGGGGGTTCTGGGGATTTGACAGGACACTGAGCTGAGGAGAAAGGAAAAGCTCTGCTGAATCAGCAGAACATTTGCAAAAGTTTGTTCCAGCAGCTAGCCATCAGCTTTACCCTTTTGAATCAGGCTACTCGGCTTCTCAATTTATTTATTTTTAGCTAGGAAAGAGTTCATTGTGTTTTAATCCTTAAACCTAAACCAAATTTGTGGATTTCTCTGGCAAGTCCCAGCCATCATAGTCAATGGTCAGGGATGATGCTGTGAGCCGCCCTGAGATCTTTGGATGAAGGGCGGTATACAAATTTAATAAATAAAAAGGTAATAATAAATAATGATGGGACCTGCTGTCCAGCAACATCTGGAAGGCCACAGGTTCCCCAGCCCTGTCCTTGTGAAGAATAATGAATAATCTCTTATTTGTCCCTTGAATAACCTCTGCACATTGCTGCGATGCCATAAAAACTTCTCTTTTATGGAATTTTACAATTTCATGTACTATTTTGTATTTTTAAAAAGGCAATGAGAGGGGGAGAACAAACTAAAGCCCCCTTCCTTAAAAAGAGAAAATGGCATTAGGACAGTTTCAAGAGGATATTCAAGAGGCTAAGCAGTGGTGTCCAAACATTTTTCAAAGAGGGCCAGATTTGATGAAGTGAAGGGCCATGGGGGCTGACCAAAGGGCCAACCAAAGTTGTTAACCTTTTTTTAGGATTGAACTTATTGTGAGTTTTTTAGGATTTTACCCCAGGAAATAAACTGCCGCAGTGGCCGGATTAAACCAAAACGGACTTTGGACATGCCTCAGCTAATGAGAGGCTTCTCATCAATAGTCCCCCAACCTGGTACAACAGGCAGAAATACATTGGACTGAACTTGCTAGGAATAAATGTTTTGGTTTCAAGGCATTGGAGTCCTGGACTTGGATGGTCTACAGTGGACAGGATGCTGCTATAGTTGTGTTTTTATCACCATTTATTTCGTTATTTAAATATACTGAACCACAAATTAGGTCCAAAAGAAACTGGAAGCATCACACAGAAAGCGTTATTCAAAGTTTAATCACTAAAAACTACTTTATAATTGAACTTTGCAAGATAGCAGCATATGCAAAAAAACAAGTAAAATGAAGATGACTATGATGATCCATTTAGGCCATTCACACCCACAAAGAAGTGCTTACATGTGTGCACATGAGCACTGGGCATGCTCCAGTCAAAGTAATCCACATGTGCAATGGCTATCTCAAATGTACAAACCGCAATTTAAATGTGACTTAAATGAATGTGACTTAAGTTGCCAAATTGGATGGAAGCTGGCTTGAGGGAAAGCACATCAAGCCATAGTATCTCTCAAGCAGCTATGGGATAGATATGGATTGTGGCCAATATCATTTGTAAACGACTTCAGACATTAGCATTGAGAGAACACTGGAGCCAAAGTGAACTATAATGTTTACACAGGCTTAAAGGAAGCATGCAACATCTGTGTAGGAGATTGCTTTGCACTTTATTTTGTTATAATGTAAATTATTATAATCACAATATACCGTGCCTTGTGAAAACACAGACTGAAAATGCAATTTAATAGATCATTTCAAAGAGCTTCCATTTCTAAAGCAGTAACTGCATTAGTATATTCAATAAAAACAAGGAGGACTCTATCTAATGTAGCACTAAATTAAAGTCACTTTGCACTATTCTTGTTCCACTGGCAAAATGTTGTTGTGCAAGAGAAGGTGAAACATGGCAGAATGAGTTCCTGCTTGTGCAAGTGTTGCATTCAATCCCTCTGTTGTGCAACATTAAAACTCACCCATCTGCCAGTGCAAGTACTTTTGCTCTACTGGACAAGAAATATTGGATATAGCTCAGAGTCTTGTGGTACTGTGAAGGATTTTGATTTTATCTTTTGTAGTCTAGAGCCTAGTTAATCAAATACAGTAACTGTTAGCTTGAGTTTCAGGTGTGTAGAGACACATATGGTTTAGAGAGGAGGAGTGTAAAAAGTGAGGTCAGAGGAAAATTAAGTACAGTGGACACTCAGGTTGCGAACATGATCCATGCAGGATGCACGTTCGCAACCCACAGCGTTCGCTATCCGCAGCGGCGCGTCTGCGCACGCGCAGGTTGAGATTTGACGCTTCTGCGTGTGCGCAACTGCTGAAACCCGGAAGTAACCTGTTCCAGTATTTCTGGGTTTCGGCAGTCCGTAACCCAAAAAAATGCAACCTGAAGCGTCTGTAACCCGAGGTATGACTGTATGATGATAAATTGCATTACTAACAGTGGCCATTCAGAAAACAGTTGTTGGTGATAACACAGCCAATCATCATCAACAAAAACGACAACAACAACATTGTAGAATTAGATTAAGAATAAGAGTAAAAACAATAAGAATTTTTAAACAAACTGTTCAAGCCTCTTGTTGAATTGCCATTGTTAACTGTGGATTGCCACTCCTAATAACTTAATCATCACCATCTATGCCTTCTGCATTTCATTTTCCTTTGACCTCACTGTTTACAGGCTCCCAGCAGCCATACATAACATGTACACAACACTTTGTGTCAGTTGTAAGTTTGCTGAGGAATAGGCAGTGGTATCATTTGCACTCACTATACAGACTTGCATTACTTTAAGCAAGTGCCCTCCAGATGTTTTGGTCTACAACTCCCATCAATCCCACCCAACATGGCTATATAGAGTGACATCTTGTCAAGTCAAGAGGTTTGATAAAACCCAATGAAAAATTGAGAGAAAGAGAGAGAGAGAGAGAGAGAGAGAGAGAGAGAGTCCTGAAGTTCTTTTCCCAAGGCTTTTGGGAAGCCGGAAACACTAGTCATTCTTATAAAACCCTAAGCATACAACAGCCCTCAATTATAACCAGACACCTATTTCTGGTTATAATCAAAAAATAAAACAGCACATAAGTAAGATGCTGAAGCTCAGAATTATGACAGTTGGGAACTCATAACGTTCACCTCAACAACAACGGCAACCAGAAAAGGTGGGCAGCATGACCGCAAGAAAATTTCTTTGGATTTGATTTGAGCTAATTCAAATTCTAAGTCATTCTCAGTTTTTTGAGAAGCAGCTTGGTTTATTTTCCAGCCACTCCAAAGTGATATAGACAATCCAACAAATGGTCTTAAAACTAAACCTTCTTTGAAGTTTAATCTTGAATTTATCCAAAAGCACTCCTGCCCCCACAGCACTTAATGGTGCCTTGATACCATATTTAATTTAAAGTAACATGCTTCCATCTCTGTGCAAATTGGTACACCAGGAAGAAACAAGCCCACAAAACCATACGTGATGTCTTCCTCAGTTTATGGTAGGCCTGCACAACTTGTGAAACATCAAGCAAATGCAATCTATCAAATATTTATAGCAATGCTGTAGATGCCCAGTAAACATTCTGAGGTCTGCAAAGAACACAAATCAGGTGATTTGCAGGCTCGCTACAAGAGACTGAATTGGACCTTTAAAGCCCAACATGGTTGAATCCCTGAGTTACCTTAGGCAATGTCTTCCCGTGTGTGATCCCACAAGGCTTTTAAGATCTACCTGCATGCTGAAAACATTGGTATGAATGGAGATTACAATTGTTTAATTTGGGAGGCCCATTCCAGCATCTTCAGAACTTGAAGTGCCATGATTAGACTTGCGGCTAGGCAAGATTCACATAGAGGCATCCTTTGCATAAAGCAGCGGTGAGAAACCTGCAGTTCTCCAGTCTCCAGTCCCAAAACATCTGGAGGGCCGAGTTTGCCTATGCCTGAGTTAGGCTATCCCTGTCCAGATAGGGACATAGCTGGGCCACCAGCTGAAGCTGATGGAAGGCACTCAGGGTACCTCTAAGTGAGCACCTTGCAGCTTTGAGATCACATCACAGAACATCTTGAAGAGTTTGCATGTGGGCTGGCATCTAATGCGGAGTAGGCTTAGACTTGACTGGATCCAATATTTTTCTACCCTTACCAAAAGCCTATATCGGTTCCATCTCCTAGGAAACATTCATATATGAAGCAGGCTGGTCCCAAAGAAACCGCATTACTACTACTATACAGTGGTACCTCGGGTTAAGTACGTAATTCGTTCCGGAGGTCCGTTCTTAACCTAAAACTGTTCTTAACCTGAAGCACCACTTTAGCTAATGGGACCTCCTGCTGCTGCCGCGCCGCCGGAGCACGATTTCTGTTCTCATCCTGAAGCAAAGTTCTTAACCTGAAGCACTATTTCTGGGTTAGTAGAGTCTGTAACCTGAAGCGTATGTAACCTGAGGTACCACTGTATTATGATATTAGTTAGGGGTGTGCATCGGTTCTGTGTGGGTGTTAAATAAAACAAATTGGGGGGGCGGATTGAGGTGGAAGCATGGTGTCAGCAGCCCTCCTACATTGGGGCCAAACAAAGTCTCATGACACCTTGTTTCTGAAATTTTTCATACCTTGTATCTATGTGTCCCTATAAATTGCTATGTTTCTCTGAGGTCATGAGCTATTCCAGACTGAGGTTGTCCAAAATGTTGCCTACAGAGCACTGTAGAGCTCTGAGTTTGTTGGTTTGTTTTTAAAGCACAGCAGCAGAGGATATTTTCAAAAGTTTAATTTAATTTTAGAAAAATCTACACCAGGGGTCAGCAAACTTTTTCAGCAGGGGGCCAGTCCACTGTCCTTCTGACCTTGTGGGGGGCTGGACTATAATTTGAAGGGGAAAAATGAACGAATTCCTATGCCCCACAAATAAACCAGAGATGCATTTGAAATAAAAGGACACATTCTGCTCATGTAAAAACATGCTGATTCCCAGACCATCCGCGGGCCAGATTTAGAAGGCGATTGGGCCCGATCCAGCCCCCAGGCCTTAGTTTGCCTACCCATGTTCTACATTAATAAACAAACAAACAAATCCAAAGTTTTCAGAACTCTGCAGGCAGCATTCTCAACAGCCTCACACTAAAATGCATATCAGAGGCCTGTAAAGGTCTAGGCATGTAAGGGCTATTGAAGGACATAAATAACCACCATAAAAAGGCTGGTGTGAAGATGCAAAGTTTAAACAAATGTACAAGCAAGAATGCACACCACTCAGCATCCTCCTATTAGCTATGAAATAAGAAAGAGACAGCCATCTGCTCCCCACCCCCATAAGACATGATGGGGGAAAGTAATCTTTTACTTTCCCCACAAAAAGTCACAGAACCTATCTTTCTGCAATTTTGCTGGATTAATGCACTCTGTGCCAGTAAATTTCATCCACTTTTACCAAAAGAAGGAAAAGTTATAGCTGTTTTTAGATTCCCCATTATAGTGAATGGGGAATCACAGAACTTCGTTTTGTACAAATCAGCTTGAAAACTGAAACACAGATCAAAACTGAGAGAGCTCAAAGCAACTCAGAAATTGATTGGATTAAAAAAACAACAACCCCGAAACAAATACATGGTGAATCTTGGGGTCTGTGAACACGCTTAATATTAGTTTGGCAATCTGTATAAGCCAAGATGTTCCATTATGGTGTACTGTCAATCCCCCTGCCCCCTATGATTACAATCATACAAGGGGGAAAGCAGTTATGAGCCTACTGACCCCCAATACTCTCACAAGTCCCCATTGCTATTTTTGCAGGCCCCTCTTTTAGAATTGGGTTCTAAATCACATGGGGACCCTTTCTGAGTAGAGCAGGTTCACCAATGGAGATGTTCAGCCCCCAATACTTGGGGAGCTGCAAGAATGAAGCTGTCCAGGGAGGCACGTCCATCAACTCATGCATGCTCTCCCCCTTGTGAGATGGTCATGGGAGGGCAGAGGAGAACACAATAGGCCTCATATCAGTAATAATCCCATTCTTGCTGAATATTGTGATATTTCCACCACAACAGAGGACTTCAATATGGCCAGAATCATTTAAGAATTTACAGCAGCTGTTCAGGCAAACAGAAGTGGTACAGAATGGCCGCTTACTGTGCTCCCAGTGCATGGCGGTTGTGGCCTGACGCGGTGCCTCCTTTTTCCCCAGACACACCACGCTATCTTAGCTGTTTTTCCCTGTCCCCCCCCCCCCCGACCGCAGCGGATGCTCATGGGTCCCCACCAAACCCATCCATTCAAATGAGCCAATCTGTCCCAGCCCCGGGGGGAGGGATGGGGAGTGGACCTGAGGGAGGCAAGCTTCCCTTGGGTCCATCCTCTATCTATTTGCCCAGCCAACCCCTCAGCACAGCATCCAATCAGCCAGGAGCATCACCCACCCTTTCATTAATAGTTTATTATTGCTCTAACATTTCCTTTTCAGCTAGGAGGGCTTTGCTGTGGTCTTTTGACAGTTGCTGTATTCGGAGCCGGGAATGAATTTTCCCTGCTTTGCAGGTTTCGCCTTCCCCTTAGCACTAGTCACAACTTTGGCAGTTTAGGCCTTGGGTGGAATCCTATAGTCTTTCATCCAATTCGGGTGCGGTGAAATGGTGACTCACCCAGCCCCTGTTCTCTGTGGCAGCGATAACAGGGTACCCTGTAAGAGGGGTCTGGTGGAGAGTCTCTGTCCCAAGAGCCACTTGGTAGGGCTAGCGGGCCATAGAGCTTCCCTCGGCATTTGGAGGCCATCTGTGTAAACCTGCATTTTGTGATGGATTCATCCCCGAATAGACCCTGTCATGCCTCAGCCCCCCAGCTAGGGCGGGGCTGAGAGGAATATATGCCCAATACCTATGCTAAGGCTTCCTACATCTGAAATCAATAAAGTTGTAGCCTTTCCCGCCCCAATCTGGCCACAGTGATCCATGCAATGGTCACCTCCAGGCTTGACTACTGTAATTCGCTCTACACGGGGCTGCCCTTTGTGGCTTAGGGCCCTCGTATCTACGGGACCGTCTCTCCTGGTATGCCCCGCAGAGGACTTTAAGGTCCATGAACAACCATAGTTAAGAGGTCCCGGGCCCTAAGGAAGTCAGATTATCCTCCACCAGGGCCAGGGCCTTTTCAATGATGGCTCCAACCTGGTGTCCCATGAGACCAGGGCCCTTCAAGATTTAACCTCCTTCAGTCAGGCCTGTAAGACAGAGCTCTTCCACCTGGCCTTTAATTTGAATTCAGCCTGATCTTTTATTTCCCTTCCCTTCCCTCCCCCTCCCCTTTTATGAAGATCACCTGCTCTGAGACCCCACAGCTAATTCTCCCCTGGCCTCCTCGCTGGCCCAAGTAGGACCAATTCAGCCAGCTAGCCCTGGGGATTATCTAATGCTTATTTCCCCTAAATTGATTTTTGAATTTTATTGTTATTCATGTTTTATGCTGTATTTTATGCTGCTTTTATAATTAAGTGTTTTACATTTGTTGTTAGCCACCCTGAGCCCGGTTTTTGAACCGGGAAGGGCGGGGTATATATAAAAATTTATTGTTATTATTATTATTTATTTTAAATCCCAGACAGTTGTTGTGTCCGTTCATTTCCCACTCAGTAGTTAGGCACGCCGGGTGGGGGACTCTGTGGCTGGGCACGCAAATAATTCTGAATTTTGTCCATCTTCACTGTAATATCTATAGTAGGTGTGTTGCAACCTACACAACGCATTATCATCACACTCCTGAGTCTCTGATACAGGGATGGAGAACCTGCAGCCTTCTAGATATTGCTGGACTCACATCATCATTAACCATGCTGGCTGGGGATGATGGGACCTGGAGTCCAATATCTGGAGGACTCATTAGGGGGTACTCAAAGGTACGCAATACCGGCACCTCCTTTTTGTTGTTAAAAAGTGTGGCACTTACTGTAACAGCCTCACAGTGAGTACCGGCACTGATTTTTCTAGAAAAAAAGCACTGAGGGCCAGAGATTAGCCACCACTATTAGAGAATCTCCCAATTCTCAGAGAAAGAGTTGTTTTCAACACTGGTAGCCGTTCATCAGTACAAAAACATACTTGTTCAAATAAACAATAGGAAGTAACACCCCAATTAGTGTATCCCATTTTACATATTATTGCTATTCTTTATTGATTTTATTCTTGCAACTTTGATACAGCACTGGGGAGGATTATTGGGGGGATTCAGTACATCTCCCAATATAAAAATATAAGCTTCTAAAAGGCCTTTTCCATATAATTTTTACAGTTGCGCTATAGTCTGCTTTTCATGTGTAAAACCTGCTGAATGAAAGGCTGCTCTCATTTGAGACAAACTATCTGGCATCCCTACAGTTCCGATTTTTTTAAATTTAATATTCTCAGGATAAATCTGGAATGCCACTAAACAGAAAACACTGTGTAGAACCTTATATACTAACATACAGCCATATTTCCATGAAACAAATTGAGAAAGGAACAAAAAGGAGGAGGAATAAATCTGTATTGAGAGACATTTTGAAAATGGAACAGTTCCTAAGAACAAAGTAAGAATCTGAGTGTGCTGGTACAGGATGATGAAAATTATAAGATCTGATGGACCACCACAACAACCAACATTTATCCATGTATACAGTGTATTTGCGATTGAAATTATGGCACGTTTTCATCCTAACATCCACTCCCCTGACACACATCATAACTAACTTATGTTCTGAAGGTGTTTCCCCCCATTTCATACGTACCGGTCTTGCCAAATTTCGATTATTTGCTAAGCCCTAAAGAAAGAAAGAAAAATAGATTAAAAATAGCCACTCGGTGTTGTTACAAATTCCACCTACATGCATAAATACTTCACAGCTCTCCTACCAGAGTGGTTTGTTTAATTGTTTGTAAGGTTTCTCACTCGCTCTCAAGCTATATGTACCAAAGGGAATCAAACCAAAAGGGCAGAGACGAAAGGCAACTCTTTCAATCAAGTACTGCACCTGTGGATTTGTCAAGTTGCTCAAACATGTTCTACCTACATTTGAAAGTACGCATAACGAGCTTCAGAACGGGCTTCCTACAAGCCCAGGCTGTTTGGCTTGATTTGCAAAGTTTTCTTACCTCAGGTGAACTTGAATTAGCCCCCATCGTGGTATCTGCTGCATATGATCCAGTTGCTCGAAGTGGTGCTTGAGTGATAAAGTTCACAGCTGACAGTGCCTCCTGGGTGAAGTAGATGAGCAGGTGACTCATGACCCCACCCCTTTCTGAATTCCAAGGAATGAAAATAGCTCCCTCCCTATTTCCTTCAGTATCTTGAAGCCAGTCATTTGAGTTAATTGATGCTGAAGGTCCCTGTGTTGTGGTGGAGGTGACTTAAGTGGCTATAGGTCATTGTGGCCATACAACGTGGTTGATGAGAACATCCATTTAACTATTCAGCCTGTGTACTGAGCTCTCAAAGTCTAGGAAAGTTACGCTGTTTAAATGAAGCTATGTGAACTACCTGGAGATGAAGCAGCTTGAGGTGAAGGACTTCTTTGTGGGAACCCAATACAAAGATGGTGGTTGTATCCCTGTATCTTTTCCCCTGGACTTCTCAGCATATTGAGAATGGGGAACCCTTAAATGTGCAAATAAATGTTTGGAAAATTATTTAAGTAAAGGCAAAGAAGAAAGATTGTTGATGGCCACTCCATGATCTTCCTCCACTGAAAAACGCAGATGTTTGACTGACGTAGCCCTTAATCTGCATAACAAGACTTAACCAATAAAGATTTAATAGAACACTGATAAAGAGAATACTCCCATATTTGGGAATGTTTATGAAAATGTGACGAGGACATAGAGAAGGCTTGGAGTTGGATAACACAATCATCTACTTCCCCACTACAGAGATTCAAAGCTTGCCAAAAGTTTTAATGGCCAAAATATGAGGCCTTTTGGATTGAGTGGGTACAAAATATTAGTAAGCATTTAGCCAACATGTACATAGACCTAGTCAGCTGAAATTAATACAGGTCTAGAATCACTTATCTTGTTCTGAATTTTGTCCAGTTTGTGGCACACCAGTCCAGTCTATAAAAACGTTCATATTTCAGGAAACCATATAATAGCACCATGATGAACCAGGGAACATCATTCGCCTCCAGGTATAACAGGTGCCCATTATCTGCACTTTTCAGAAAAAAATGGATGTCATGTTTGTTCCAGTGGACTTTTCCAGCTGATTGAATGGATCTCTGCCATGGGTGCCATTTTTGTATTGTTTTGCTTTTTGTGGTTTTAACTGGGTTGTGTGTTTTTTGCTATTTTTTATTTTACATCACCTTGAGACTCTTGTGTGGAAGGCGATTAATAATACAGCTGTACCTCGGTTCTCAAACGTCTCAAAAGTCAAATGTTTCAGTTTTCGAACACTGAAAACCCGGAAATAAATGCTTCAGTTTCCAAAAGCTTTTCGGAAGTCGAACACACTACGTGGCTTCCATATTGAGTTTTCCGGAAGTAAATGCTTCAGTTTCCGAATGATTCGGAACTCGGTCTTCTGAAATGGATTACGGTTGAAAACCGAGGTACCACTGTATATCATAGGAGCACCTCCATCACAAAGTTATACCAGGATGGGACTGAAGTACAGCACCTGCATGTTTAGGAAACCTCAAAAATTGTTGAACTTTTTAAAGGAAAACCCAAAAGTTGTTGATCTTTTTCAGTAAAAGCTACAAGAATTTTTGAGCTTTTCCGGACATTTGCTGGATTTCTAAAAAATAATCCAGGATGCCATTTTCGGAAGTGAATTCCAGGAAAATCAGGACGTATGGCCATCATCCCTGAGCATTGGCCATGCTGGCTACGGAAGTTGTAGTCTGAATATCTGAATGGCACCATGTTGGCTATTCTTGAGATATATTACCCAGGAAGGATAGCTCCTTCTTTCTATTTATGCACTACCAAGCTTTTGCAACACAGTTAAAAGTGAGAATTACTTCATAGCAGGTAGAAGCAGCTTAACGTCTTCCTTATCCATGAAAAGAAACATATGCAAATAATTGCTTGAGGCCACCTTAGGCTCATGTGTCAGCTTGTCTTATTTCTGTCAACTCAGTTGAATTTCTGTGCCTTGCACATTTGTTCCCTGAACACAGTAAACATACTTACATGGAAGGAAATCACATTGACTATAGTGTACCAGTCTCAAGTTGGAAATTTTCCATTATTAATCCAGACTGTTCCACTATTAATACAGAATCTTCATTTAGTTTCTTTTTATAGATAAGATCAACCACCAAATAAGAATCTCACCATGCTCTAAGTAGCAAGCAACCTCAAAGCACGAGAAATTTATTCCGATCTTCAAATAACTGGAGGGGGTGTTGAGATTCTGAGGTCCCCAGAGGGGTGCCCCAAAACACTCATTTCCAGACACTTCCATATGCAAGGGAAGATTTCAAACCTATTGTAGGGAGGGGGAGGCAGAGCATGAATTTAACCTGTAAATTTTTGATACTAAAAAGAAGTAAAACTGGATTTTTTTTAAGTATACAAAGCTTACAAGTACAGTGGTACCTCAGGTTAAGTACTTAATTCGTTCCGGAGGTCCGTTCTTAACCTGAAACTGTTCTTAATCTGAAGCACCACTTTAGCTAATGGGGCCTCCTGCTGCCGCCGCACCGCTACAGCACAATTTCTGTTCTCATCCTGAAGCAAAGTTCTTAACCCGAGGTAATATTTCTGGGTTAGCAGAGTCTGTAACCTGAAGCGTATGTAACCCAAGGCACCACTGTACACAAAGATAAAGAGGTAAGAGCCAGGAAACTATCAAATTAGATAATAAGGCAGTGTTAGCTTGCCCTTCACAAGGAAGAACCAGTTCCTGGTTGGTACAGGCAAGGCTGGCCTTACTATGAGCCACAATGAGCTTCATGGCTCAGATGGCAGATTAGGAGAGGTGTCAGTTTGTTGCTCCCTATCAGCCACATGTCACCATGGCTACATCTTCACAGCTGCTGCTGCTTTTGTCATGTGGAGCCCTTGCCCCATGTCTCACTGCGGGGAAGAGGCCCTTCCTTACAGTGAGGCATTGTGGGTCCCAAAGACCCCACTGGGGCTTCTTTCAGAAATAGCTGTATGTTGTGCATAGTGGAAAAATGCAAATGCCCAGGAACCTACTCACATGTAGAGGCTCTGTGCTATCAGGATACCCATGCAACCTCACCTCTCAGGCATGTAGAAGGCCTACCTGTGAGTAGTGCTCAGGAGTTCAAATACCACTGCTGACAACCACACATGGCATGTAGTTGTTGCAGAAAGAAGACCTGGTGGCAGAGCTGGGGCTAAAAGCACAGATCTGCTCCACGGTCAACAAAGATATGCTCTAGCTGAGAGTAAGGCATGACTAGGGCTAGAGAATTCTGAATGCCACCACCAAGTCACAGTTCACAGTTCACCACCACCAAGCCACAGCTCTCAGCATTATCTGGAGGAAGCCATGACAGTTAAACTGGTAAAATACAATATGCATTAGTGTAGCTATCAACTATCTGGCTCACATGGATTGCAATCCAACATGTTTATTCATAGATGCTCGAGCACTGTGTGTGCTGCTGAGCCTGTACTTTTCCTTCCCTGACTAAAGGTCTCTTTCGCCCAAGTAAGACATCCACGTGCACAGTTAAAGTACACAACTTCCTCCCAAATAATTTTGGGAACAGTAGTTTGTTATAATGGTAGTAAGGGGAAAGGTAAAGGACCCCTGGATGGTTACATCCAGTCAAATGGGGTTGTGGCGCTCATCTTGCTTCAGGCCAAGGGAGCCAGTGTTTGTCTACAGACAGCTTTCCAGGTTATGTGGCCAGCATGACCAAACCGCTTCTGGCTCAATGGAAACACAGTGACAGAAACCAGAGCACATGGAAATGCCATCTACCTTCGCGCCGCAGTGGTAACTATTTATCTACTCATGCTGGTATGCTTTCGAACTGCTAGGTTGGCAGGAGCTGGGACAGAGCAATGGGAGCTCACCCCATTGCATGGATTCAAACCGCTGACCTTCTGATCGGCAAGCCCAAGAGCCTCTGTGGTTTAGACCACAGCGCCACCCGTATCCCCCTAATGGTAGTAGGAACTGTAGGTCTGTGAGGAGGAAACTACATTGCCCGTGGTCTTTAGCAAAGAGTTCGATCTTAGATTTGTTATCATATATAGTTAAACTAGCACAATAAATGCCAAAAGCTAGTAAGTGATTCTGGTATATTCTGAAGCATGAAAGCAATCCAGCATAATGGCCCTATAGTGGTAAAGAAAGTATTGCAGAGGACAATTTAAGGGAGTGGGACTCTATAACATAGCAGTCAGAAGCCAGGCTGCTTTTTAAAAAAAAAATGGACCAAAGATTATAAAGACTGAAATATAGCCCTTTCTGGTTTTAAAGACACAAAGCAAAAACATGCCTTTAAAAAAATTTTGTTACAGTGGTACCTCGGGTTACAGATGCTTCAGGTTACAGACGCTTCAGGTTACAGACTCCGCTAACCCAGAAATAGTACCTCGGGTTAAGAACTTTGCTTCAGAATGAGAACAGAAATCGTGCGGCGGTGGCCCGGCAGCAGAGGGAGGCCCCATTAGCTAAAGTGGTACCTCAGGTTAAGAACAGTTTCAGGTTAAGAACGGACCTCCGGAACGAATTAAGTTCTTAACCTGAGGTACCACTGTACTGTTGTTAGTAGCATCAGTAGTTGCACTTCAGGTGTGGTATGACCAAAGTGTAGATTCCTATAAAATGTGTATAATTTAAATTGGGGGGGGGGCAGGTAGGTTGCATTACCAAAACAAAAAGTCTGCAAAAAATGAGATCGGATGGACCTATGACTGAACATCAACAAAATTGAAATAGGATGTAATTATCTTGCTCTGTCCATCCATAGCTAGAAGATCTACACCTGTTTAGTTTGGGGGGGAATAGACTGGGGTGGGGGGCTCAATAAAATGCTACTGCAATCACCTTTTGAGGGCAAAACAATGGTGACAGCACCACACATACACCTAGCATAAGAGGGAGAAAAAAGAAAAGGCATTTTTAATGGGGGGAGGACATTTTTTTTTTATTTAAAAAATATATTAAAGGTAAGGTAAGTGTGTGTGTGTTACACACACACATGCACTGACTCTTCCCAAAAAAATCTGAAGCACACACACACGGATTTTGCCATTCTTGAATAGGGCAGCAAAACTAGGATGACCATTTCCATTTT